GATATTAAAATTAGTTCAGATTTGGGACATATAATTAAAATTAAAGGAAGTATTAGAAAAACATATTATATTTTGCTAATTAGCAAATAAATAAAAACATAATCTATCATAGTTTTGCTAGTCCGCGACATAGTTACATAGCGAGTACTGATTTGATGCATTTATATACTCCTTCCGGTCTTTAATATAAGACATTTTGATTTGTCTTATATTTCACCTAATATGTATTAGAAAATATTTTTAAAATATATTTTTTACATTCGTTGTATTCTTCAAATTATTGGGAAATATTTTTAAAGTTTTTTTTCAATTAAAAATGCATATTAAGTAAAATTTAAAACAAAATTAAAATTTCTATATTAAGGACTGGAATGAATACGTTATTACTTAAGTTAATATCATGAAGCTAGATTCAAAATGGAAGGAACGGAGGGAGTTTATGGTTTTTAGGCTTTAATATACCCCCAGTTTTGAACTCTTTAATTAAAATTGGATTACATTGGCGACAATTTACCTCTAAAAATGGATTACATTTAGGCTTTATATTTTTAAAGCTACTTTACCATTGTTTTTAATCGTGTTTCCTTTGAATCCAAAACAAAAGCAAAGACAAAACTGTTATCAACACTTAGCCAAAAAGTACTTCACAATTTAAAGATACAAAGGAGAAGTTCTCCAGTGTTATAAAATTGAAACGTACTTTGAAAGTTAAACTAGTATTTAACGTGATTGGAAAATGTAATTTTATGGTTTAGAATAATGACTGAAATATTTAGATGTGCTTCAGGTTGAAAAAATAAATAAATATCTGTACAAATGTTTATTTCGTTTTTTTGGTGTGTGTTTTTAAGTGTTTTTTCTATTTGAAATGTTGAAAGGTGTATTGAAAATGTAAAAAGATATTATTATTTTTGGGTGAAACAGTTATTATTATTTAATTATGAAAAAAATCAATTAAAAAATAAAACAAACAATAAAGTACTTGATCAAATATTATTTTGGTTCATGCTGAAAAGAGGGTGACAATGAAATGAATCTCCACATTACCCAAAGTTGATATTTCCTTTTTTTTGTTCCTTAGGGGAGTAAGGTGGGGGGACCTTTAATTTTTTTTTAAAAAAATAAATTCGATATTCATTGGTTTCAATTATTTGAGGGGTTGAAATTCGAAAAAGATACGCAAAAATATATGTAGAGATCATTAGATTGCACGTTTACCCTCTCAAAGAAGCAAAGGGCCAATGCTTCCCACAAAAAGCTCAACAATGTGACAGATCCCTCCCTTTGGATTTTCATGCCTATCAAATCATCACTTTCATTCAACTCACTATTCCTCCACAAGTTGCTACCTTCCCCAGCAGCGCCACCAACCTGATCTTTTTTAATAAACCACAAAATGAGAAGAAAAATGAAAGCATGCTCAAGATTTCTCAAAATCCAGAATCTAATGACAGTTTTATTCTCTTTTTGGAACGTTTTTTCAATGTGTATTTCTTTTTTTTGTTAAGATTTGAGAATATTAAAAAGTATATTGGAATTTAGAAAAGAAATATGCTTAGATGAAATATATAGTATTAATTTTTTGACTAGCTGTTTTACTCATCGAACCACTTATACAATTCAATCATAATGGTCAGATAACATCTTGTAAATATATATAAAACAAAAAAAGGATGATGATATGGTATTTTTATTTAAATAATAATTGTCTCATCCCAACATATTTTTTTACATTTCCAATACAACTTTTTACATTCCCAATATAAAAAATACCTAAAAATACACACTAAAAAAACGAAACAAACATATAAATTACAATTTCTGGAATGGAAAAGACCTACCAAAAAAGGGGCCTAACGAAGTTTCAGTAATTCAAGAGGACTGGTTTTCCGAGCTCGATTTTAACAAGAGTAAAAAAAGAGAATTTTCCGGGGTTCGATTTTCATCAGAGTAAAACAAGGGAATACATATGAGGAAATGAAGCGGGAGGCGGGTAGATTAGTACAAGAACAAAAGAACAGAGCAAGTCTGTTTCTCTTAATAACATTTTTATAAAGTTGTACCCAAAAAAAAAAAAAACATTTATAAAGTGTGTATATTTCACTTCAAAGACATAAAAAGATTATATTGAAAGGGTGATAAGTCAACTATTGTTTTTTTATTAAAAAAAAAAAACTTTAAGAAACACTTTCACACGCAGTTCTTAAAATATACGTTTTCATCTCTCTCTCTCTCTCTCTCTCTCTCTCTCTCTCTCTCCCCTTCTTCTCTCTCTATTTTAAGCTTACTTCAAAATATTTTAATTGAAAATAATAAAATTGTTTGAAAAGCATTATTAAAAATGAAATGATTTATATATTTTAAAATAAATATTATATTTTAATGTTTAAGTATAAGTGAAAAAATAAACAACAAAACTATGATCATACCATCATTAGTTATTTATACTCATCAATCACCACTCAATGATTAATTGATTTATGACGAAAGATATAAAGCAGTATATAAGAGAGTCTATGAAAATAAATCGTATCGATGATCATACAAGCCATAAAAACATGCAATCGAACTATGATGGTGGTTTTATAGTTTTGACAAGAGCATGTATTAGTAATAAGTAAAAGTTTCGTTATCTTATGAATGATATTATTAAATTGGCTCCATTCCAGTCGAGAGAGTAATTTAGAACACTGAATTTGTAATACCGTAATATTCTTTCATCAATAAAGCAAGACTATGTACCACAAGGAGAAGCAAACAAACAAATATATCTTCATTGAATTGGAAATGTTGAGTGAATGAGAAAGAACAAAAGAAGCGACCAATGGGTTTTTGCTTTAAAATTGTAGGGCACCTAGTAATGTAGTGTAATTCCCAAGTGTGCACAAGGCTACAAGCATCTTTTACTCTTTTTTACTCTGTCAAAGACAAAAAAGGGACCAAAAGAAAAACCAGAATTGAAGAAGTATACAGTACATAATTGCATAAATTCTTTCTCAGTTACTTTTTGGATTTCTGTTTTGAGCCAAACAGAAGCTCCAACAGTTGAGGGCACTGCCTCTCCCTTGTCACTTCCCATTATTGCATTATTTTGCCGCCCCTCACTCATTCACCCACGTAGATTTCCACTCCAAAAGTGAGACTTTCCTATTCTACCATGGTGTGTTTGGAGGCTGGAGTCAAATAACTCACCATCATCATCATCTTCTCGAATACTTTTATTGGAGGAAATGTCGCATCCTTCACCCTAAGAAAGGCTTTCAAGGCTGTGTTTATTTTGTTCCTTATCTCAAAACATGTATCTGGCATGAATCAATACCACAAAAATATGTTTTAATTAATTTGTATCATTTAGTTTCACTTTGATAGTCAGTATTTTTGTCAATAACGACAATGATAGTACTATTGAATTGTGCAAAATAAACTGGTTTCAATGTAAAGTTTAACGACTTGATTGAAATACGAAACGTATGATCATCACTAACGTCGCCAATGATGTGGTCGTATGGGAGTGACAACGGTCATTGCTAAATATTTTTTCCAGTCTCATAAAATTAGTTTATATGGTTTAATTATAATTTATAGCGTGAATTATTTTTATATGATAGATTGAATAATAATCAGTGTGTTTTTCTAAACCCGTACTTTCCAAAATCACCACAAAAGTAATGTTTGCATTACATTTTCAGACACAAATACAAGACGATGTCCAAAATATTGGGCTTGTTTGGCCAACATTTTGTTTTAATTTTCGATTTGGGTTTGAAGTGTGATTTAAAATGTGGTTTCAGATAAAATTTAAAAAATTATTTGGGTGATATTTTAAATAAACTAATAATATTTTTAGACCACTACCTCCACCACAGTCGCCGCTGCCGGACCGCCCACTGTCGGCCGGAATTTGGCCGGAATCCGGCCGGCCGGCGGTGGTCCGGTGGCGGCAACGGACGGTCCGTTGGCGGTGGGTGGTGGTGGATGAAAATTGTGTAAAAATAATTTTTGGAATATTTTTTAAAAGGTAAATTAAAAAGTTATTTGAAAATTGAGATTTGTGTTTGAGAGGTGTTTTAAGAGGTAAAATGAGATAAAAATGCAAAATAAGTATTGGGCAAACAATAATGCATCCGAGAGTTTGTATCCGTAGTCTTCTTTTTCTAGTTTAGCTGAAAGATATGTATTGGAACTTTTATGTTGGAAGACAAAAAAAGTGTACATTGAAAACTACATAGAAAATAGTCAAATACATTAATAATTAAAAAACAAGAGATAAAATAAAAAAAGATGAAATGGAATAATACAAAGTGCCGGATGTAATGAAGGGATTGGAACTCCATCAAATTAGAAGTCTAAATCCACAGGAGGCCATAACAACTTGACAAGTGTGTTTGATACTTTTCTTTTCTTTTCTTCTTTTCTTTTTTGAAGGTAATTTGGTTATGCTGAATCAAACATATATAGGCCCACGCATCCTCATCGGCCAAGGTTTGTGATCATTTCGATTCTCTTTTATCGTGGACAACTAGTATCTTGATTTGGCAATATTGATTTCTAACAAATTGTGGGTAAAATGTTTCTCCTTTTTGTAATTGAAGTTTACAAACTGTGAACACTGAAATCTTTTTTTTTTTCTTTGTGCAACAATGTACATATATGAGACAATTTATGAGTGGTAACCCAAAACAACTTACGTTAGCGTATCTAACATATTTTGATACAATCGAACCTAACGGCCATACAAATTGGTACCATGTAGTGACAACATTAATTAGTAAGGTAAGAAATTAATAATCGATTCATTGAAAATATAGACGATGATGAAAGAATAAACGTGTTTAAGTAATAATTGTGTGAAATGATAAAAGTAGGAGATTAGAGATTATCAACGAAGTTAGAGATTCAAATTACTTTTTTGTTTTTTTTCATATTGCAGGGTGTCTAACGTCATTAAATGACTAATAAAAATTCAAATCATTCTAAATTAAAGAAAAGTAAAAACTAAAATTAAAACTCCACTTTGGATTTGTTAAGATGGAAATAAGCCCAAATAGACACTCGCTTAAACCCTGCCTTAGCTGGAGAACGGGTCCATAATGGGCCGTACAACTCGGCCCACAGAGATCTCCGCCGGTCCGTTTATCACCAGTAATCTTTTTTGCCCCAACTTTTGTTCACTCCCCTTCCTCTCACAATTCGCCGTCAGTAAGCAGCCCGATCCAGCGAAGCCCCTTTCTCATTTTCTGCAGAGCTTCTCCAACCTCCGGCAACGAATTGGCGAAAAGTGAACTCAGTGACTAGGCCGGCGGCAAGTCTTCTGTGACATCTTTGAGCTAGAGGTTGGAATTTCTTTTTTTTCTTTTTTTTTTTTCCTGATACAGTGATTAGTTTAGCTTCTATTAGCATGGATTCAAAGGATGATTTTTTTAACTGGGTGGTTTGCTGGAAATAGTTTCAGGTGAGATGAAACTGATTATCCGGGCCTTGCAGACTCCTAAAATCGGCGTGTATGGAGTATTCAGGACATTTTCGACACATAAAGAATCACTCCAAGGTGATTCTTTTATCTTAGACCCTAGTCATTTGGATGTATGGAACTGTCTTGTGAATGTTCAACTAGTTCATTAGATTCTGTTGAATGTTTTTGGTTTTCGTTTATATGCTCCAAAGTAATTCGAGGATTTTAGAACATCCCTTTATTTATAAATAATCAATAAAAGTAGATCATTGGTATTTGGTTGTTCTGAATAATGCATCTTTTCTTATTGATTTTACATCTAGGGATGGAAAGGGCATTATCCTGGATTTTAGTGGCTCTTTTAGGCTTAGTCTGGAGGTCATATTTAGTTGGTCTTTTCTAAATCTCATATGTATGGTTTTTTTGCCAGAGACTCCGAATTTAGGTTTTGAATATGAGTGTCTTGTGTGTGAATGTAAGCAGCTTGCTTTTGTGCAATGTAATTTGTGTTGAGTGATATAGAGAATGGATAAACAAAAGATAACCCTGTTCAGTTGAGAAGCAGCTGCAGAGGACTCTATCAAGTATGCTGGGTTTCAACTAATGCTCAGATTCTTTTTAGACACACTGGATTAAATGCTTAGAGCAAACTAGTAGTCATTCTGGATCTCAGGATACATAGGGAGACCCATAGTGTTGCTGGTGCTTTTGAAACTCTTCTATACGATTTTTGGTTTCTAGTTCGGCGAAAAGTATTACTTTTTTTTCTTTTTTTTTTTTGGGGCTTTCTGAGCTGTTTTTCAGCCTCATTTTGATGTTTTGTTGTTGTTCTCAAAATAGGTACTTATGATGCCTGGAAATCGAACGCAGCTGAATCGCCTGATTATTCTGACCGTGCAATGTTTGGGGATATTTTTGAAAAAGGAGAAACTTCTAATTCATTTTATCGGAAAGTAGATAGAGTTGAGAAGGCTTACATTGACAGTTATGGACCAAGTAGATTCATAGCTGGAAACTTATCTGGAAGGAATACCAACTCTAACACTGAAGGCAGATCTTCATTTCACCAAGATCTTGACGTAAGTTTTACCTCAACAGAAGATGGGATGGATGCGAAGTTGAAAGAGGCAGCTAACGATTTTGAAGTTAATGATGAAATAGAGAACGAGGAAGAATTCCACTTCAGGCCAGATGTGGAATTTCATGAAGGAAATACTTACGATACGAAAGTATGTACTCCGACTAAAGAATTTCTCATCATTATAGCATTTCTGTATTTATTTTTGTTATAGAACACCTGCAGCTGCAATGCCCTGTGATGGATCTTCACTATCATATTAACCTCTTGAGAATTGAAGGGCAAAAATTTTGCTCTCCTTGATTATGTTGCTTGCATCAGAGCTTCTGTTTGAGTCATTTACTTAGTTGGGCTTCATCTATGCAATGTGAACATATTCTAATTGCTGTTGCTAGTTGTGTTCGCCTTTGAATAACCTAGTTGGTTATTTTCATGATGCCTTCTTAAAGTGAAATTTACGATTATCTTTCAATTGTTTTTTGAGAAAAATTGAATCTAGATTAAAAACAACTTCAATTGGTGATTTATTTCAATAAAAGTGATGCTAAAGGCATAGTTTTTATTGCAATGTTCATTAAAATGTAGTCTTTTCATGAACTGAGATCTTCATCTTAAAGGCAAAGTGAGGCTGAAATCTTAATCTGCTGGTGATAGATAATCTGTCCATGTTCAACCTCCGTTGTTATGCTTTAACCCTTATTTATTGATGGTTATGCAACACCCTCTTTCTTCATTTAACACTTGATGGAATATCGCAGGATCTTGATCTTAGAAGACCAGCAGTTCAAAAGCCTATGAAAAGGTATGAGTTTGAAACAACTACCGAGGAAGTTCTACAAAAAGCAGACTTCAGGGTGAGTATCCATCTGCATCAAAATTGTGTTTGCATGTACATGAACAGTTTTGTCTCTGTTTGGACTTTTTTCTTAGTGCTTTGATTCCATTGTGGTGTGAGCCTCAGATCATAGAGTGTGTACCATTGGCTTATTGCATTTAAAGTATTCGTCAATGAACTGCTAATACTTGCAAATTTCCTGTTTTCTCAGAATGTGAGGTTTCTTGCCAACTTCATCACTGAAAGTGGTATCCTAAACAAGAGGAGCAAGGTAAGAAATGTACTGATATAGCAAACTGTGAAGCTGTAACATACGTGATATAGGACCTAGTATTGACTTGGAATTTCCTGTCTATCTATAGACTCGAATTAGTGCCAAGGCCCAGAGAAAGATAGCCCGAGAAATTAAGACTGCCCGTGCTTTTGGTCTAATGCCATTTACTACAATGGGAACCAAACGGTTTATGTACGGAAGAACAATGGAGAATATGGATGAAGATTTTGAACAATGGAGAACGTACCGTCCCAACAGTTTTGTTGACTTGGACGGGCCTGGAGGTTCTTTTGCTGCCTGAGTTATCACTACTTATGTTCTCCATTTTGCTTTGCTTGTGCTCTCTGTAGCTTGCTTGGTCTTAAAGACTGAAATTGCAGTGTATTTTCTTGATTTGTATTTCTGGATTGTGCTGTACAGTTAGGCACCTTCTTGATTATCCCTCTATATCCAGTAATGATGGTAACATTTCTGTGATGAAACTACAGATATTGGCTAGGGATAGTATACTTGGAAGGAAGTGATAATATTTCCTTAGTATTTAGAAAATAAAACTGTCAAGCATCTTTCATACACCGCAAGAAAATGGTTGCGAATCAAAGTACTTTACGCCAGAACTAGAGTCGTCTGTTACATATTCAAGTTGCCCTATCCTCTATTTTCTGATGCAGGTGGTTCAATCTCGTTTCTGGTAATCCGCTGTTTCACATACTGTTCCTCAGAAGGAAACAAAGTAAAATTTTAAGTTCAACGTTCAGTAAGAGTTTGTACCCTTGTTAATAGTCAAAGACACAGATTCAAGAACCTTAATTTAACAATGAACCCTGGCCAGTAACGTTGCACAAAAGAGTTCGTATCCTTATTAATAAACATCGTAACATCTTCTACTATATCTATTTACAAGCCGCAACAACCAGAGACACACAGTTACATAGATACAGAAAGAACCAATAAAACAAGAATCAAAATAGGAGGACAAAGAATGAGGGGAAAAAAATTCCTTAAACAAGGACGACGAAAAGAAGGCCTAGAAGCACACCAAAGCACAAGGGATATGAAAATCTACACAAACTCAAAGCGCATCAAAAGCCTCACGGAGGGGTATTGCTCTCCTTTTTGATTACAGAGTGGAACTGCATGGATCCCTGGCCTCAATTCCGAGACTGGTAGGCAGTTTTGGCCAGCAAAATCATCCTTCTCAGACATGTCATACTCATGCACTTCGATTCGGAGCAAAGCTAGCTCAGGAACAGTCAATGGGAAGGTGAATTCTTCCTCCCAGACAGGGGTCCACTTATCCTCTTTTGTCTTGGTTTTCTTCATTACTGTATCAGCAGGCACTCCGGATATACCCACCTTAAGCAAATTGTGGACCGTGTATGAGCTTTAGAAGTGTGTTTCTAAACACTTTCCAAGTGATGTAGGAAATTAAAAGTTGATAATAACTCACCCTAGTGTAGAAATCGGGTGGAGAATACATATCGAAGTGAGTTTGCTTAAAATCCAAATGCCAACCGTCTCCCATGTAGACTTTAACCTGTATAAAAAAGATATGTAAAAAACTTTTGATCGTACAAATTTCTTCAGATTTTGCCGGTTCCTCTTACCTTCAAAGTTTTCTTCACAGGCAACTTATCTCTAGGATTGAAGACCTGACCGTGGGGACCCATTTTCATCAAGAAATCAGGCTTTTTCACATAACCACAACCCCCATTCGATCTGAACATTCCTTGCATCAACCAAAGTGATCTACCATAGCCCTGAACCAACACTTAAAAATCAGTTGTGTTGAAACGGATCTATTCCCAAATTAATATGTCAATGTCTCTGCCTGCACATTGGTGCAATAGTTCCAGAATGCCCATATAACGAACTTGTGTGTGAATGAATTACATCTAAGGAGTAATTTGCCCTCAAGTGAAATCAGCTTAACTAGGAGTTTAGGTGTGGAAAGGATCAATTTCTAGGCTAGAGGATAAAACCTGCATGTTAAATGCAACCATTTGAGCTCCATGCATCCACCCAATCAGCGGCTTGTAATTTGAGGAGTTAAATCGAGTACCTTTGGGATACACCCGGAGAATATTTTTCTGGGTGAACCTATACAAGAATTAAGTATTCATCATTAGACAATATAAAAAATGCAGTTTGTGCCATTATATCGAGCACTTTTCAAGCTTACAACACTAGACTGTACCTCACAACATCCATTCCATGAGTTTCAGCAGCCTTTTCAAGAGCCTGTTCACTCAAACTCAGCCGTCTCACTTTATCCGGATCTACTCTTAAGGCCTCCACTAAACCTCCTTTTGGCTTCCCGGCATGAATAGCAATCAGGCTCTTGTAAACTGGTGCTTGCTGTGGTTTTAGATCAGACTCATCATCAGATTCATCATCCTGGTTGTTATCACCTTTACCATTGAAAGACTGCAGCGAAACATACAGAATATCAACAATTGATGCGGTGGTTTAATTAAGAGATATAAACATGGACTAACATAAACATGAACATACCTTGTCATTTTCTTCATCAGCAGTGAGGCTTGAAGGCTCTTTACCCCAAACATCTTCATCAGAATCCTTTTCCCTTTGTGAGCTTTGCTTGTCATCAAAAGTTTTAGCTTGAAGATACTCTTTAGGAGGTTTGGTTGAAATAATAACTCTATATTTAAGTTCTTCTGGTGAAGGAAACTCTTTTAAGCAATTGGATTCAGGATCAGGATGAAAGAGCATATCTCCAAATGTTTTGGTCAGCATCTGAGGAGAAAAGAAAACAATCAGAACAAATGGAAGATTCCTGTGAGTATGATCCTCACGGACAAAGATGGATGTTTACCTGTGCTACTTTAGCCTGAAGGTCAGCTGGAAGGTGATCTTCAAGGGTTATAACGACAGGGTATGGAGACGCCTCAAAGGCATGCTCCTTTATGGACCTCAAACATTTTATCAGTTCAACAGGAGCAGTAACAGTTCTGCATAAGCAATGGTTGTAAAGCGTCCATGAATTTCATTATAAATTACAAAGCAAAAGGCCTAACGGAAAGCAACACCTTGATGTCAGACATGACAAAACAGTATGGTTCAAGCGGAAAGAGTTTAATTCGGTTTTTACCTTCCGTGAAGAACATGCACATCATCCTTAGAAGAATTCGGCCATATATCAAGTTCTATGACCCTGACACCTTTCTTCAAGGCCTTAATGATAGGAACATCACTGCAGTCACTGGTAAGCTGGTTCCCAGTCAAGTAGGAGTTGTGCCCAGTGAATATAAAATAATGGGAAAGAGGAGCATTCATATCTTGGTGAACCTGAAGCGCAAGTATACTCTCAGCATTAGCAATAGCAGAAGCAATTGGTCATTCCGAGAAGAACACCAATCACTACTGCATGACAACAATGTGCTAATGACAGTTCAATCTTCACGAAGCCAAAAGAAAATGCAACATAAGTCACACGTATAATCAAAATGATGTTTCTTGTCCCCCGGAAATGAATTATAACCATCATAGTCAATCGGAATCACTCAAACTGGTGAGTTAGAGAAAAGCATCACTGTCTTAAAAAGTTATAATCCCTCTCCACTATATGGTCCTTATTTCCTTTACCCTTGACAGACCGACAGAAACCAAATGCTAAAACTGCATTCACAAACCTCGAAATGGGCAAAAAGCTTTAAGCAACACCAGCAAATTTGCAACTTTAACTACTTTACACACAGAACCCATGACAGGAAAAACTTGAAGAAAATTAAGATTATACCAAATACTAAAACAATTCAAGACTTTAGTCAACCAGTTGACTTTCAGTTATGACAACTTCTCTAACACCACCCCCGGAATCAAAATCAAGATCCTAACTTTAAACTCCAAAACAGGGCAACAAAGTTCTAATTAAGAGAAAATTTGCAAATAAACATGGAAGGGGGGGAAAAACCCCGGGATAAGTGGGTTCAGTTCACCTTAGAATGAATAGGCGGATTCAAGTCAACGGCAAATAAGAAATGGAAGAAATCCTCAAGGGTGAGATGGTTATGGCGGGTGAACTTAGCAAGGTGGTGATGCCTCTTCTGAAGGATCTGCTGAGCAATCGCCTCGGCGTCGGCCACCGTGACGTCATTCTCCGCCTGTTCCTCCACCAGGAACCGCCGGAGCTGCTCGGGATTCATGTGGGTCCCGCCATCGGAATACTTCCTGAACGCCTCCTTCACGTCGGCCGGCGGTTCCACCTCCGCCACCTTAAACTTCCGCGTGAAGCACACACATATTCTGTAACTCGAACTCCCCATATAACCGACAAAGATAGTTTTTTTTTTGTGTTTGATCAGTTTATTAAGATTGATTATATGATCTCCCGTTATATATTTAGAAGGAAAAAATGTAAATGAAGAGAGTGAAGTGGAAACGAAAAAGACAGAGTATTGATGAGTCGTCTTCTTCAACCTTTTTTTTTCTTTAAAGAAGACTTTACAACAACAACATTATTATTATTGACGTTGTCTGTATTGAATATTATTGATTGATTGTTCGTAACTTCGTATTTATATAAATAGCATTTTGTGGGAGGTTGATGGTAGTGGGAATTTATGGACTTTATGAATTTATTGATGAGTTATGGAAAGCAGAATAAAAATGGATCGAAATGTAATAAGAAAAAAAAATTTTGTCTTTGGGAAAATTTCTTTGAGATTTCGATGTTTGTTGGATATGATGAAATAGACGTGTTTTTGTTTGATACAGTATCATTTTCAAATGACCGGGAAGAGTGGACTTTGTTCTTCGGTAGGTACGACTTCTACTAGCTATATAGCCTATATGACTCTCTCTCTTTTTTTTTTTTTTCAATTCAACAATTAGTAATATCTTCAACTAAATTAAAATCGTGATAGAAACATAATATTGTAGTGTGTTTTATTTGCCTTTTAATCTTTTATCATGACTTAGTGTTGTAGACTTTAGGTTGCTCTCCTTCCTGGTGATAGATTAGGGTTCGATCCCCATTCTGGGTTGTAAGGGAGGGGGAGGGGAGTTTTACCCACATTTAAGTGAGCTCACCGAGGTGGATTTTTTTTAAGTATCTATGAACGTTCATATCATTTTTGTGAAATCAACGTTTTTTTTTTAAAGTAGTCTTATCCTATCACGATTTAAAATTAATACCCTGTCCAAAAAAATATATCCATATTGGGTTTTGAAATTTATGCTAATTTAAAGAAAATTTTAAAATTTAATGTGAAATATTTTTTTTTGGGACATAGGTAATATATTAGTCTTTAGGTCTTTGTTATATGTTTTTAAGCGATAATAGCAAAAAATTGGAGTGAGTTATAATAATAATCACTATCAACTTAAGGTTTTTTTTTTTAATATATATAACTGAATTGTTTTAAATCATAAAAGTTCAACGGCCATTTCATTTTTTACGCTTTCATTTTTTACGCGTACTTAAGCTTTTTAGCTTGTTAGCAAGTCTAATTTGCCATAATAATTTATTTTCTTCCTATCCAATTTATAAAACACAAATTTCACAAAAGGAAAGAAGTTTAAATGTGTGGCTTAAAATAGGTATAGAGAGAATACGTTGCAAAAATTTTCAAAAATGTTAATAAAAAAAAGGTACAATCATATAAAAATTATAGAATACTTTTTTTTTAAGAAAATGAAGGGAACAGTAGTGAACTATTATTATGAAGTCAAGGAAACATGCAAGTGTGGTTGTACCTCAGTATATTGTTTTTAATATATATGCATATAGTTAAAAAAAAAATAATGAAAGAAAAAAATTAAAAAAAACAATGAAAGAAATACGTATAAATGATTTTTGCACTGTTTTAATTTTTAAAATATCGCACTCCATTTGAAATTCCGAAATTTGTCAAGGATAATGAAATAATAATACTTCTTTCATTTTTTTTTTAAATCCAATTTGAAAAATTAATACAATTACACGCAAATTGCAGTAGTTAGAAGTTAGAATGTGGGTGATTTCTGGGTACGGCGGTGAGGGGGCACGTGGTCATGTGATTGACTGACTGCGTTGTGAATGTAAGAAAATGTATATAAGTCGGTCACGGGGACAGTAGTATATTGTTACTGATTTTAACTTTGGGTGTTAGTTTTTGAAGCCACCATCTTTATTATTAAAGTCACTGTAAATATTTTTGAATTATTTTGCCCCTCACATTTCAAACTCCCACCAAAGGAGAAAAGAGAGAAAACTTGAAGTCACCTCCCTTCTAAACCCAAATTCAAAGTCTAATTTGATCCACCGTTGATGGCAACACAGAAGAATCAAAGCGGGAAAGAGCCGATTTCATCACGGGTATTTTTTTAAAAAAAAAAAATTTGTGAATTGTAGGAAAAAAAAAAAAAAAAGCAATCTGGCCGCCGGACGCGCAATGAAGCCGTCCGGCGGCGCTACCGGGACGCGCAAGAAACGCGTCCCGGTTCAACTCGGAACGGGCGTTTTGCTCGTTCCGGGTTGAACCGGGACACATTTTTTGCGCGTCCCGGTCGGCCGCCGGCCGGCTTCTCTGGCCGTTCGGCGGCCAGAATGTTTTTTTTTTTTTAATTTGTTTAATTCATTATTAGTGTTTAATTATGTTTAATTTAATGTAATTAGGGTTATTAAGTAGTTTTATTAATTAATAGTTTGTGATTTAGATTGAGGTTCTCTATTAGTTGGTTATTTAGTTTAATTGTGTAAATAATTTAATTTGATAAATAGTAGATTAGTTCATTGCCTAATTAGTTTGATTGATTTACTCATTAATTTAAATAGTTATTAAAGTATTTAGGTTATATTTTTAATTTAATTATTAGTAGATTAGTAAAGTTAATCATTTTAATTGATTACATTAATTTAAATAGTATGTAAATTAGTTGAATTTTAAAAACTAATTTAATTGATAGTAGATTAGTTCACTACCTAATTAGTTTAATTGATTTACTCATTAATTTAAATAGTTATTAAAGTATTTAGGTTATATTTTTAATTTAATTATTAGTAGATTAGTAAATTTACTCATTTTAATTGATTAAATTAATTTAAATAGTATGTAAATTAGTTGAATTTTAAAAACTAATTTAATTAATAGTAGATTAGTCCAATACCTAATTAGTTTAATTGATCAAATTATTTTTAATTTAAGTAATAGTAGTAGATTAGTAAAGCTAATCTAAATTGTGTGTAATGTAGTTTATGATTAATTAAATTAATATAAATATTTTGTAAAATAGTTGAGTATTTTTAATTAATTATAATTAATAGTAATTTAATTAAAACTGGACAAAGTACTTTAGTTTACTTAATTATTATATGAATTGTACGTTTAATCAAAATGTACTTAATTATTAAACTATTTAGGATTTAGGAAATGTGTATAATTATTTGTTTAGACTATGAAAATATGATGACGATGAATAAAATTTTGTTTATAGGTTTATTGTGATGATGATGATGATAGTGATACTGAAGATACTAGTAAGCGTAAGGTTCGTGCGCGTTATCTGACCATGAGTCGTCGGAAGAAAAAAGAGGAAAAAGAGAAAAAGAAGCGAATGAAAATGACTCAGGTCACTATGGGTGGTGTACCGCTTCATACTCGGTCTAGTCAGCCAATTTATGTACCCGAGTATTCTCAGGACGACCTGGAAGAGGGGGATGAGGATGAGGAGGATGCGGAGAATGAGTTTGATGAGGATGATGTGCAGGACCGTGTTAGGATGGGTGCACATCACAGAGATACGCCTATGTACAATCTTAGTAGTTACCCTCCTCCCCGGTACTCCAGTTGTCCCCGGCCTGGTCCTCGCGGTTTACCCTCTCCCCCTACCCCTATCCCTTCTCCTATGAGTGGTGAGTGGCACAGTCCATATCATAGTCCCTCTTTCCCGCATCCGGGTGAATTCCCACAGGGTATATCCACCGGTAGTCGGCCTCGTCCCCCCCGCCTCGCTCAGGCATCTCCCCCCTATATTGATCCCGTGCCCCCTCGCGGAGGTCCCATATCCGCTGGAGTATCTACACGTCCTCCCCCTCTCATTGATCCTGTGGGCCTTAGCCGAGGTCCCGGATCCACTAGAGTATCTACACGTCCAGTTACCACTACTGCACCATCAGGTACCAAATATCTATATTTAATTATTGTAATTATTTAATATTCTGTAATTATTTTTACTTTTATTTATTGAATTGTTGTATGTGTATAGAATGTAATAAATAATATTTGGCTTACTCATTGATGGTACAGGCGGCAGCAGCCAGTCGAGAGTTTCTGATGAAATTGATCTGACTACATGGCTAGTGACAGATGAAGTACCTGGTGGGCCGATAGATGGTAGCGTGATTCCTAGCTTCCTTGGGCATATTGCTTATCATTTCTGGCATGGATACAATAGACCCACATTGAAGATTTTTAAAGGCAAAAAGATTCTGAATAAGTTGAAGATGTGGTATAAAGATATGAATGATGTAGTGAGAGGCAAGATTCGGGGGACTGGATTGGGTTATGAAGATATTGATCTTGGCTTAGTTCAGGCATTTGTTGAGAGGTGGCAGCCGGACACCAACTCATTTCATTTCCCGTTTGGGGAGATGACCATCATGATGCATGATGTTTATCATATTTTGGGCATTGGGGTCGATGGGGAGTTGGTGTCAGCTACGTCCGAGACAGATGTGTTGAGGAGACATGCAGCAGGGATACTTGGCCTGGATGTGAATGGTTACAAATGGAGTCATGGCGATGTCTCTGATTGGTTCATCCTGGAGCGATGCCAGAAAGCGGACGAGAATACCCAGGCCTCTGTTTTCTTGTGGGTATTGTTGGCCTCTACGTTGTTCATGGGCAAGAGTGGTGGGAGGTGCAGCGTTTCACTTGTACATGAGCTGATGGCTGGGATCGAGGATATGGGTTCATACTCGTGGGGCTCTGCTACGCTTGCGTTCCTATACCGTCAGTTAGGGATGGCTAGTAGGGCAAAATGCACTCAGTTAGGTGGGTATTTGACCCTACTGCAGGCCTGGATATACGAGTATTTCCCGATTTTCCGCCCCCAGGGAGGGCGAGTTACCCGTGGGGGTAATGACAGGCCCAGAGTACATGACTGGATACCACCATCTTTTACGGGGCCGACATCTATGCCAGATCGTCTTCGTCAGGTTAGGGAGCATCTCGACCGTTTCACCGAGTTAGAGGTACTTGATTGCTTCATTTGACTGTATTTCATTTTATTTTTTGAAAATTATATTTATAAATAATCTAAATACTATTTTGCAGGTAAAGTGGGAGCCATTTGGACCTGGCCAACAAGGAATAGTTCCGAGGACTATCTACAGTGGGTGGATAATGTATAGGAACTTGCAGGAGCCATACATGCCGGACAGATGAATACGTCAGATTGGCTACGTACAGAGCATTCCTCGTTCGCCCATGTCCCCTGATGATGCATTCCGAGGACCCAGGACTACCCAGTACTTTGTAGAGCATTCTGCTGTTGACACACTCAGTACTTGGAGGAGATTCCCGGAGTCAGCGTGTCTTTATTTGACCAGTTGGCGCCCCAATATCGGTGACATTGTAGGAGAGTGTGAGGATGGGTACCTTGAATGGTACATGCACTATTCACATCCATTTCTGCTACCGACAACTGACCCATCTGCAGTCTCTACACCAGCTAGGAGCAGTCAGGATTATGTAAGTTGTATTTTTAATTTTTGGGTTTTTGTAGATATACATTTCTATATTATAAATAGTTTAACCTTTTTTGGTTTTTGTTTTTTCAGTGAATGAATGAATTGAGGAAGCTGACGAGGGACCTGATTAGAAAGGTCAAAGTGTCCGATCGCGACCTGGCTGACGAATATGATGAGAAGCTGCAGGATACAATGATCCATTATTACAAGGCCCCATGATCATTGTCATTGTTGTATTATTGGACTGGATTTGTTTGTTTTTCTCTCTCTTGGACTGCATTTAGTTTTTTTTTTTTTTATGGTATGATGGAATTGTGTGTTATATATTAGTTAGCTTATTTGGTGTCCGTGTAGTAAGGTTTTTTTTTTGCTAATATGGCCAACAAGGTTCGTTATTGCACAAATAAAAAAAAAACAAACAAATTTGATAGTAGATAATACCAATATCTAGTTCACAACAAACAAACAAACATGAATCTAATATAAGAAACTAAAATCAATGAAATCATTAGCATAATCCCCGACAGGACGTCCAGGATTCGAAGGGACTAACCTATACCAATCTTGAATTCTAGGAAGAAGTGGTAATTCCCAACCAGCAACGCTAGGCTGATGTTCCTTACTCCACCGATTATTGATCGGTGGAACTGGAAAGTCACCGTCTAAATTGATCCGAATAAAGTGCTTGTAAATACCATGGTGACATACCCCAATCTCAAATGCCGGACATGTTGCCTCACTGCGTACAGTGACAGGGAGTTTAGTCTAACATGAGGAGTTTAGCGACTGGTTCTCTTCCCCTGTACCGTAATAGTACACACATAGTCGCAACTACGAACAAGTCCGTCGCACACATCCAATGACACTCAGGTGCGAAACCCTGTCCACTCCACCGTATACGACGGACTTCTTCCTGGCAGGACGTCCTGCATTTAGATATACAATTATTTGTGCAAAATACTGCCAAGTTTTAGCAAATATCATAACATAGAAAATGAAAAGTATTTATACCCATAGATTCTAGTGTACAGATGCCAATTCTGTTCTAGCTCGTTCGCCATTGCCTCTCTCGCCATCGCCCACTTGTCCTGGCTCAAAAACATGTTACTCGCGATGACGCGAAATCCACAATTGCCATCGGCACCAACATCAAGGTAACTGGTAATATATGGCTGAATGGGCCATGGAATGAGGTCGTAGCAACCATACTGTGAAATATCACTCGCAAAGATCTCTGTACATTACACAGAAACAATGTTATTTGGAACAAATGATAATAAATAAATAAAATTCTGAACAATTACTTCTTAACATGTACCTGTGGATGCATCTGTATGACCACCTGAAGACGAGGGGCGCTTCTTACTTGAATCGCAAGTAACTGTGGTCGACTTTCCTTGAGCCTCGTCCCTGTAATCCCACACATTAGGTGTTGCTTTTTTCTGTGGGGATTGTTCATGGGCAAGAGTGTTGGCCTCTGCTTTTTTCTTTGATTTAGCCCCCTTAGGCCGCCCCTTCCTTCTCTTGACCTACTCGGGTTGTTTGAACCCACACTGGTCTGGATGCATAATATCATGAAGAGCCCTATTTACAGTGCGTCGTACTGCCTTAGGACACTCGTTCAACTCTTCCATCAACTGTCTGGTATAAAGGACCTCGTCATCCACATTGCTAGGAGCACTCGTACCAGCCTGTTCACCGATATTAAGGGTCGCCCATAATGGGTGAATATGCTTAAGAGTTATCGATGTGCCGGCATCTGCAGCCTTTTTGAGGGCGCACGCACATGGAATTCGACAAGTCCAGTACACCACATGATCGCATCGGTCATTCGTTTCTTCTTTCCATTCTTGCGCCTTCGACCACTCAGTGTTCAGCTTTTGCAAACAAGTATGTGAAACTTGACACTTCAAGCGGTTCAGTGGAAAACCGCAATAATGGGTGCCAATTTTCTGTCTTGAGTACTCCAGTTTGTACCTGAATGTAGCCACTTACTGTAAAACATTCTACGTAAAATGCCGTAAAAACAAAATAAATACTAAATATATTATAATAAATATAACTTCTAATATAATGGAATAGAACTTACCGTATTTCAGTTAGCTGACTCTGAATTTCCAAGTGCACCTTAGCCCAAAGCGTATCCAGCGACGCAGTGGATGTTTCCAGCCAAGTTTTTAACTGCTTGTGCGCGCTCTCCACCCTACCTGTAGTAGTGTTGCCCATATGAAACACAACATTCGTCCATGCCTTGACGAATTTGTAGTCAACCACTAGCCATGTCTTCTGGATATAATTAAGAACTCTCGGAAAAGACTGCCAACGACGGTTTATTACGGCAACAGCTTTATTGTACTCATCCTGATTATTAGCTTCCACAACGTCTTTCCACAACCCATATGCAAAACCATTTGCAATCTTGGCTTCAATTTTCAATTCCTTGTTGAGATGTCGCTTTACATTCTCATAAACGTGCCAAACACACAAGAAGTGGCATGAATATGGAAATACTATGCTCAACGGCGCCATCAACCCCGGTTCCCGATCAGTAACAATAACAGCCGGAGACAGATGACCAGGAAGCAAATCCCTAAACTGGCTCAAAACCCAATAATAACTGTCAGCAGTCTCGTCACTCAAGAAGGCGTATGCAATCAGGAAGTTCTGGTTGCACGGTGTCATCCCAATAAACTCAACCAACGGCATTTTGTACTTGTTCGTCTTGTATATTGAGTCTATCTCAATGATCTAGAAATAACTGCAAAATAAATTGACAGCATCAGGATGTGCAAAAAAAACACGAGTCAGCACACCTGTCTCCTGATTGCAATCTGTCATGATGATGTAACCATGATGCTTGGCCACCGATAGTGTCTTCGTCGCGACATCCATGGCACTCGATTCACCCAAGACCGGGAACCCCTCATTACGCAATTTCTTCCTGAATTGTACACTTGCCGTCTGTTAACTTTTTCATCAGGAAAGATCCTCTCAATCGCAGCCATGATCTGACACGGTGTGCACCCATCTTTGGACATACCCTGTATAAGCTGTTTCACTCTATCGCTAAGGCCCCTCGTGGGATGATCTTCGTCAAACAGCTCGTGGTTATGCATTCCAAACTCACCAGGATACACCCGAATGTGCCACTTCCCATCCACTAAGTGCACATATAACTTAAATTTACACCCAGTGATTTATGTCTTCGAATCTGATGTGACATAATATTCACCATCATCAACTGACACCTTTCCCCCTTTACAACATCTCATCATAATAGCATTCTTCTTCTTGCTAGAAACTACGTTTATTAGGATACCATTTGCCATGCCCATGCTTTTCACGTAAGCAACAACATCATCCTTTTCTGCAAATTCCTCATCTGTAGCAAACAATATACTATAATCTTCACCATCGCCGCCAAAATTTTCTAAAGAATCCTGCAAATTAAACATAAAATTACAACAATAAAAAACTGCATCATAATAAATTAAATTAAACACATATTCCAATCATTTAAAAAAATTATACAATTATAATAAATAATAATAAAATATATATTTACAGTAAATAGATTAATTATTTACTAAATTAAATTTCCCAATACCTACCTAAAAAGCTAAAATTCATTAATTTAGCGATTAATTAAATAGATTAATTATTTACTAAATTAAATACTTATTCCACAAAATTCTTTAATTATTTAATTCCCCCCTAAATAAATATTATCTCTAATTAATTAAATCTAAATAGATAAATAAAATTCAACTAATTACATTACTTAACATAACTAATTAAATTAACAAATACAATAATAATATTCTTACTCAATTAAATTAACAAAACATGCAATAAATAAATATAATTCAACTAATTAATTTACTTAACATAACTGATTAAATTAACAAATAAAATAAAAATATTCCTACTTAATTAAATTAACATAACATGCAATAAATAAATATAATTAAACTAATTAAATTACTTAACATAACTAATTAAATTAACAAATAAATTAACATAACATGCATGAAATTAAAATTAAAAAAAAAACCCGGTTCACTGGCCGGAAGCGCAACACACGCGTCCCGGTTGAACCGGGGACGCGCAACAAACGCGTCCGGCCAATAAACCGGATGCGTGTGTTGCGCGTCCCGGGTTCAACCGGGACGCGTGTTTAACGCGTCCGGCCATTGAACCGGACGCATATATTGCGCGTCCCCGGTTTAATCGAGACGCGTGTGTTGCGCGTCCGGTCTGATTTCACCAGGACCGGACGCGCAACACACGCGTCCCGGTTGAACCGGGGACGCACAATGAACGCGTCCAGTCCGGACGCGTTTGTTGGGCGTCTCCGGTTCAACCGGGACGGTTTTCTTGTGCGGTTCGGTTCTTTTTTAATTTTTTTTTTTTTAACCTCTGAATGACTCATTTTCTTTCTCTCTCTACTGTATTAAATGACAGGGGCAAAATCGTTCAATTTTTTTTGGGTGGCTTTGAGTACTAATTTTGGAGCTTTAAAAATCCATCCCCTTAATTTTACGTGGACGTTGATTCCTCAGTCATTTATTTATTTTTTTTATTTTTTTTCTCACAAAAAGAATGTACTTATGTACGTAACTAGTACGTATCTGTTACTACTATTTCTCACACGTATTCTTTTGCTATGGTGGTCGGCCCATTTTGTAAAGGAACTACTACTCCTGTATTATATTTATTCCACATGCGTTATTCTCGTGGTTAATACAACTACTTCATTTACATGGAGGATGACGACGGGATTAAACATAAATAATAACACTGCTGGTTCTTTGTCCGGGGAGGTTATATTCCATTCCGTCTATTTCAAAATAATAATGCGATTTATCCTATTACTCTTTTCGTAATACTATATGATTAATTAACTAAGGACCTGCTTGGTTGTCTTGAAATCTAAAGTGGGAATGTAATTTTTTTCCTTATTTTTGAATTTTTATGTTTGTTTTTGTTTTTTTTCCATCGTTACGTGTTTGCGGTGCAGACTTGTATAGTGTATATGGGGAGGTTTTGGTGACAAAATGAAGGTGGTAGTCATAGTAGCGGTAGCACACAAATTACAAATGTAAGATTTCCTGACAAAAATAAAAATGGTCATTTTCAATCCGTGGGAGGGAGTGCGAGAGAGATCAAAGAAAGTACCAAAACCTCCTTTTTGCGGAGCTCCTTGTTGTTACCAAATTCAGAATATAAAGAATATTCGGACAAGATCTTCATGATCTTATTTTTGGAACCCCCACCCTGAAAGAATATTTTTCGTGTCTTATTACGTGTGTACAAAAACATATATATAGTACTCTTTCCATTCCAAAATAAGTGTCGTTTTAGCAAAATGGAGAAATTCCAAAATAAGTGTCGTTTTCGGATTCCAATGTATTTTTTGTCAAAAATTTCCAAACATACCCTCAAAAGAAATAATATTATTGGTAAATATTTATTTTAATGGAGTTAGTTGAGGATATTCTAGAAATTTAACTATCCTATTTAAGTGTGTCTTAAACTGTGTGCAAACTCTAGAATGACACTTATTTTAGAATGGAGGAAATACAATATTACAATAACCCTAACCGTGATTACTAGAAACTCTAATTAGGGTTTCGGTATTTATATATTTTATCACCCCAAGTTTGATGAGGCTCTAAATTTTATGCCCAAAATTGACTCCTAAATATATAAAAATATGGATTTCGGATTTCCACGGCAAATCCAGCCATAAATGTTTTGCTGTCAGCTTCGGATTCTTTGTTGTCAGATTCCCCCCACGATGCATTGCATGCCCTTTCCTAGCTGGACTTTGGTTTTGATTTAACATCATGGACTTTGCGGAATGTCTAGTACTATGTAACACACCTAAGATTAATAGAAATATGATTAAGATTAGCGCATGAGAACGCTTATGATGTTAGGCATGTCCATGGATCTGGAACTACCGGTTTCGGTTATGGAACCGACAATTTTCAGACATCAGTTCCGGTTTCGATTTTAGAACCATCGATTTCGTTTTGATTTTGGTTTGGTTATGATTCCGATTAATAACAATTATAATATTTTTGTCCATTAATTTTGGAATTATATGTTTTGATTCCGACTTAGTTTTGATTCGGTGGTAGTTTATGCTAAATTTAGTTTGTTTTTAATTGTTTTCAAAAAAAAAAATAGTTTCTTTTTAATTTGTAATAAAGTTATTTAAAAAAAAATACTACAGTTACATGAATATTATAATTTTTCTAAAGTAACCAAACATGATTTAGTTAGGGAACCGGTATATTCCTAATTTTATTATATAAGAAAACTAATAGTAAATAGTGAATATTGCTCAAGCATTACTCAAACCAACAAACCATCTTTACAAAAATAATAATCTAAATAAAACTTAAATTTGTCATATGTTAAAAAAGAATTCCTAAAAGAAGCTAAACGGCTATAATAATATTTTTTTTAATAGGCGATTAGTCGATGGTTACAATTTTGAACCGCCAATTTAAATTTTCTCGATTTTTTAAATATTAGAACCATAACTGAACTTTTTATAGTGTGCTTCAGTTATGATTCTTAATACCTAGATGTAACTTTTATCGGCTGATATATAAATTTATCAGTTTCCAAATAAAAGAAAAGGAAATTTTTTCCCCCCTCTTGGGAACGCTAGGCATATAACTGGAATTCTTGGAAGAACAGGCCGGGATCAAGATTGTTGAGTTTGGGCTAAAAAAAAGCTAAAAACAATGAGCCCAAATCAAATGGTTTCCATCTACGGCCCCAAGTTTCTAACTTTAGACTAATACATTGGCAATATTATATGACTTTTGAGTTATGACTATATAGTCTATATGCATAAGCCATAACGATCAAGCTAGAGACACATGAGATATAAGCAAGCTCTAAGATTTGATCTTGCTTTGTTCGTGCTTGGAAATTTTAGTGTATCAGACAGCATCTTAGTGACGGAACCAGCCCCGAATATTCAGAAAATTGATCATAACTAAATTTGTTTTTCTGAAAAATATATAAAAAATCCAAAGTATTTTTTTTAAAAAAAATTGTTGACCGCAAGGTCGATAAACCCCCTTTGCTCCCCCTAGGTCCGTCCCTGTAGCCTCTGTTTTTGCTCTTACTGTCTTGTTCTAATGAAGGCTAGTAATTATTACTCCTTCTATTCCAAATTCATTTATGTACTTTTTTTTTAAAAAAAAAAGACAATTATGTCCCAACGAAAGAAATGAAACAGTGTTGTTGGCTAGAGGTTTATAGTTTTGCATCTCCTTTTATTTAGTACTCTCTCCGTCCCATAATTATTGTCCAGTTTGAATTTTCATTTTTAGTTCAAATTGTACTAAAAGTGAAATCTCAAACTGGACAATAATTTTGGGACAGAGGGAGTATATAAAAATCTTCGACACGATCTAAATTAGTATACCGTTCACAAATATGTGTTGGTTGAAGCATTGAACATCGTTACCACTAAAAGTAGTCGGTGATGATTATTAAGAAGCTTCTGCAAATAAACCTTCTGTGGCAGAAGAAATCTCTCAGATTACCAGCGAACCAAACTTCTATAAATAGCAAGTAGTTTTATATCCAAAAATAGACACTTCTACCGTAGCCTCTAAAGTGTACGTAAATCAATTGGAGACTTTGTTGGCGGTTTGTGGTCCAAATGTAAGGCCTGAAGCCCAAGGCCCCAAGTGAAGGATTTTCTGCTAAGGCCAAAATTGTGACAGAGAGCATCTGCTTTGATGGACTCACCGCCACCATTCACAAACCAATAAAAAGGGAGCTCAGTTCTGTGGCCGCAGTTGCACTTTTGCACCACCACAACAGGCCTTTAACCATATTTGCAGGCACGCATCTCTATTTCCATTTTTTATTTATTTCCAAACATAATATCTTCCCATCATTCTTTTTCAAAAAATAACTTTGGACTAGAGCCGTCAACTAACCAAGTCAAGTCCAAAGATTCAGGTGCTCGAGCTCGACAAAAACTTTAGAGATCGTATTCGAATTCGAACTCGATCGAACATTGAAATTGAATATTGAGCTTGACTTGACTTGAAATAAAAATCAATAATTCGCGTTCGGTTCGATAAAGATTGAGTTCGATTAAATTGAATATCTACCCTTTTCAATTTAACACGTTTCAATCTATGTAATTTATGAACAAAATTCCTTGATAAATAAAAAAAAGTTATGTTTATCCTATTATCACATTTTCAAAATATATAGGACAATAACGTTTAGACAATACAAATAAAAATTTCAATGAATTAAATATTATTCATAATAAAAATAAAAATAATTTATAATAAATTCGAATAGGCTTGACACGACAAGCTCTCGAATCACGCATTAAAATAATTTATAATATATTCGAATAGGCTTGACGAGTTCTCGAATCACGCATTTTGATAGTCGTGTTCGACTCGTCTATATAATCGAACTGTTTCAGCTCGAATTCGGTCAAAGCCAAATTCAAGTCAAGCTTTGACCAAACTAAATGATCAGTTCATTAACAGCCCTACTTTCGCGAACTAGTGATCGGTTCCTTGACAACCCTACTTTGGATCTCCAAACAGAATGGTTACATTTGTAATTTTAATAGAAAGACTCAAGTAACACTTTTACAAGGGGTGCCATGAATGATTCTTATGCCCTAATCCACTGGGGTAACATTTACATGTATTAAAAAGGACAACAAATGAAAAGGAAAGGAAAAAAGCAGATACAGGAATATCAAATATTGATCCCCACTTCATTATGACAAAGCTCAACACTTTGCTCTAAAGAAACCATATGATCTCCTAGGAACCTATTCGAATCCTTGGCTGGATCATTATTTAAAGCAGTAGGACGAGATATCTCCGCTAAGATATAACATCGAATGAAAGTGCCTGGCACTTGCACAACCAAAGCATCAACGAACAGATTTAATGCCTAAATTGCTTTTTGTCTGCTGACTGAATCAATGATAGAAAGTGAAAAGGGCAACCGAAAGACACCCCTTCTTAACATTTAAACAATCCAATATTATTGACGTGTTTTAGATTAACAAAAAGATGACTAAAATGAAACAGAGGACACAACAATTTAGACTAGTGTATGAATGCAATTACAGGGAAGCTGCAAGGTTTTGATTAAGGGATCAAAGCCCTTCAAAATTGATATTTTCACCATGCACTACAACTTGTCACAACAGGTTTATCCTGTGCACGTTTTGCTATTAAAATTTCAATCAAATGTCCAATGGTAACCACATAAAGAGCTCAAACTGTGATGAAACGGTCCAAGCAGAGGCAGAATAAACATGCACACCTGCTACTGTATGGAGAAGATATACATCACCTAATGAAGCAATACCTAAATCTTGGATATTTGGTTATGGGGTGACAGGTGAGAGCTTTCATCATTCATAAAAGATAGGAGACCATGAACTAGTGAAGTCATCCAGAATAAAGAGTTAGAAAAAATACAACACACTTGGGACAAATTCAACATTTCTACAAATGTGATTGTCAAGAACCCAAATGGGAGTACCACAAGTTATTAAATCAGTGACTGAAATAAACAGGCTAGTTCTTCACCCATGCACCAAGGTGAGTCAAGTTTTTCAAAACAACCAAGCAAAAGTTCCAACTATAAGCTGGTAAAGGGGCAAAGTCAAATTCAACTCTAGCATAGAAGAAATTAAGAGCTAGAAGCAAACTACAAGTAACAAATGTAACTGAAGCATAAAATATTTCAATAAGACAAAAACATCCAATGTTTCTTCATGTTTCTTGCCATGACAAAGCATCCATAACCTAAAATAACAAATAGTAATCCAAAGCTGAACTATAAAGATTCAAGCTTCTGGCCTAAGCAGAATAGAATTTGCTTTGATGACACAATCTACACAAGCCATATTACTATCAGAAATTGAATTCAATCAATTTCTTTTCCCATCATCACCTAATAAAGCCACCCCAATTTCCATCACCATTCAATCATCATCATCATCATATCTCATTCAGAACGATTCGCATACCTCTCCACCTTTTCGTCATTGAGATTAATTCCCACCATAGCTTCACCAAGCCCACAGCTCACATCCACCAGCACCTCAGGGTCACTGTAATGTGTAACAGCCTGCACAATCGCCCTCGCCCTCCTCGCCGGATCTCCACTCTTGAACACCCCTGAGCCGACGAACACGCCGTCGCATCCCAATTGCATCATCAGCGCCGCATCAGCCGGAGTGGCGACTCCACCGGCGGCAAAGTGCACCACGGGAAGCCTACCCAATTGCTTGGTCTGCATAACCAGGTCATATGGGGACTGAATCTTCTTCGCAAACGCGAAAACCTCATCGTCATCCATGTTGCGGAGGACCCTAATATCGCCCATCACCGACCGGACATGTCGGACGGCCTCAATGATGTTACCGGTGCCGGCCTCACCTTTGGTACGAATCATGGCGGCGCCTTCCCTGATGCGGCGGAGGGCTTCGCCGAGGTTACGGCAGCCGCAAACAAAAGGGATGCGGAAATTGTGCTTGTTGATGTGGTTATCCTCGTCGGCGACGGTGAGGACCTCCGACTCATCGACGTAATCGATTCCGATGGCTTCGAGGATTTGGGCCTCCACGAAATGGCCAATTCGAGCCTTAGCCATAACAGGGATGGTGACGGCCTGCTTAATTTCTTTAATCAGCTGCGGGTCGGACATGCGGGCGACGCCGCCCTGAGCACGGATGTCGGCGGGGACACGCTCGAGGGCCATGACGGCACATGCACCGGCTTCCTCGGCGATGCGGGCCTGTTCAGGGGTGACGACGTCCATGATAACTCCGCCACGGAGCATTTGGGCCAGGCCCACCTTGACGGAAAAAGGTGATTTCTTTTGGGTCTCGGTGATTGCACCGTTGCCGTAGACTGTAACAACACCGCTTCCGGCCATTTTTTCTATTGGTTAATTTTGTGTATTCGATAAGAAATCTTTCAAGCGTGTGACTGTGTGTGGAAGGAAAAGGGAAGAAGAGAAGGAGGCGGAGAATAGATAGAGGAGAAATGGATGGGTTAATAAAGGAAAAACAGAGGAGAATAGGGGAACTCCACTGGCTGTGGCTGGGGATTTTGTGTCCCTGAATCGCTTTAAGTAAGCATTTATTTTTCAGCTCTTTTTTTTTTTTTCTCCCTCGAATCTTTGTGCTTTTTCGTTTATTTATTAATAAGACCGACGATGGTACGAACAAATTGTTTTTAATTTCCACTCTTTTTTTTTTTTTTTTGAAGTTGAGTCTAGCACCGCCATTAACCAATAAAAAATCAATTGAAATGGAAAATACAAGACATGATTTTCGTTTGTAGAGCAAAATGATATTTCGTCCTAACCTCGTGTTTGTTTTAATTTTGGTAAATTTTATTTTTTGATAACTAAAGTATTTTAGACACTATATAATCTCATTATAATGGCAGTGGAGGAGCGTTTAAAAGAATTTTTCTCTACTATTAAGACTTGTTTTTCTTTCCTAACTTAGAGAGGAAAAGCCAAGAGAAAATACATTTTGAGAATTATGAGCTTATGTGTCTGCTTGGTACTGTGAGTCATCCACACTTTCTTTCTTATCTGGATACGAGTTTTAATTTTTTTTTATTAAAATATAATATGAATAATGCAAATTGGTTTAAGAGGTGATTGAATATATACCTTTTTTTTTCTTTCTCCCTTACAATTTGCCTGAGCTTGATAGGTTTATGCTTAAAAAACTTATTTTAAAACCATAATGATTAATAAAAGGAACTAATTTATTTTGTAAATGGAAAATAAAAAAGAACAGGACAAGTCAATAAAGAAAAGAAGTGGTAGAAATTGGCACACGAAGAAGATGAAATGGCCTAAATAAGTAAATATATTTTCAGCTATTTCGTCATAAGCAGTGGACTGGAATTGCTTAAACGTCTACCTTTTTAAGCCCCTCTTCTTTTCCTCAATTTTATTTTTATTTATTTATTTTTTTTCTGTTTTCTGTTTGTGTCTGAGATTATTATTCATTGGTACTGATTTATTTCTCTGCATATTACCCGTACACGCCCAATGTCCAAATCCACATTCTCATATCTCAACTAATATAGTCACCAAATTCGAGCAGAATTCTTCGTATACTCGGTCTAGATATGATTTTTTTTAAATGAATTTCTAATAACGTAACTGGCACAATAGGATAGAGGTGTTCTTGATAACTACAGATCACTAGCAACTAATTGGTGAATCCTGAATGACTAATAGTCAATTAGTCACTATTACCAAAGAAATCAAAATTAAACTCGGGGGAATTAGGTCAAAGAAAAGTCAAGATCAGCTTCTAAGGCGGCCCGAAAGGGCTCCAAGGAAAGATGCAATTTGATAGTATGATACTAACATAATAATGTGGGTAAACAAAAAAAGTAAATTGCTAGAAACCAAATCTCTCTTTAGTTCAAGTCCATTGGAATTTGCCACTGACGTTGCTTTCTTTGGCTTTACTTTGTGTGAAAGTTGCAAAACCTTCTTTTGTCATCTTGCCTAGGATGATTTCCAACCTTTCAACTATTAAGATTTTTGAGATAGAGATCTGTCTGTCTGAATTGCAACCTGTTCTATTTTCCTATATTTCTTTGCTTTTTCCCAAGGCTGAAAATCTTCTGCCGAGTTGGAAAGCACAAAATCACTCCAGTTACTCCCTCTTCCCCAAAATACGATTTCTGTTTGTCCATATCTATGTTAGTAGAACATTTGAAAAACTCTTATTTTAGGACGAACCCAGTATAAAAGAGCCACTATTCAGGAATGAAGCTACAACTTGATCATGAGATAAGGGAAAGGTAGAGAAATGTCAATGAAGCAAAGAGCACTTGAGTCATCTGGTCAAGTATCCACATCAAGTTTCCAGTTTTCACACACTTCAACATTGCAAGTGTTTCTCCCTTAGTTACATCATTTTGTCTCTGATGCGGTAAACTTTTCATAATCAGCAAAAAGATTTCAATATGAAATCATCTTTTTGCACATACATATCGTGCACTTCTATTCTAAAAGACTTATCCCTGTGTAATGCTATATGTGGTTTCCTATCTACTGCCAACAAAAATTCTAAAATTCAAGGCTGAAGCGAGCATGGAGGCGACGTCGAAGGAAATGCGAGCGACTTCTCAAGAAACCGTCGCTGATTTTCATCAGCATAGCACAGCACTGATTCAACACATGTTTCAGTAGCAGTAGGTGGTCTAACAGGTTTAAAATCTTGCAGTTTTGAGTACTCCGACAAGAGATGGAACATATAATCATAGACCCTATCCATACGCAAACTTCCCATGTAATCTTGTGCTGCTTTTCCAATTGCTTCAGCCTAAACACAAAAAGATGTTATGCATGAAGTGTACACAAGTATGGGTTGAGATTGGAATTCAAACATTATTAAGCTGACAATCAAATGGTACCTCAGAGGGATGCGCATGGCCCCACTCAACAGACATCTTTATAGAACGGCATAGCTCGGTTGGAGAGACGGGCAGAAAGTTTTTCTTAGGAGTGAGACCGCGACTGAAGAAGTCTTGGTATTTAGGAGAAACTATGAGAGGAACTGAACCGCAAGACAGAATGTATTTCAAGCTGACAGACCAGGCATACCCTTCTGCATAGATCTTGTATCTGCATAATATAGACAAAGCACATTGATCACCAAAGGTGAACATACACAAACTCCTGCTCTTAAGCAAGTGTAGCAATGAATTCTTCAAATGTGATGACCAATAGTGAACTTAAGACGTAGAACACTCATGAAGTTTGGCGTTACATAAGGATCACTAATACCTAAAGGAGTCTTAGATACGTGGTTAATAGCTAATTGTGGCAGCAGATTTCAATATCAAAAGATTCAGAACATTATGGAAATTGCAAGCTTGTCAAAGCAATCTAAAAGCAAACTTATCATAATAGTGCAGACCAGCAAAATTTCGAGACATAACAGTTATTAACCCCAATCATCATCACTACAACTGGAAATCGGGAATAGAAGATGGCAAATTTCACTAAACCATAACAAGAGTTTCCAAAGTTAATGCCAACAGTGGCAAAGAAACTTACTGATGATTACACTGACTAGATAATTTGGAATCCTTAAAGCCGGCTCTTGCAGCTGCTCCCCAGTCCTGTATTTCAAAAAGCAAATGTAGAAGAAATGAATACGATAATAAGAGAAATTTTACCAAATCTTACTTCCAAAGCATCAAGTGACAAAAAACGTGCTAAACTGACTAACCTGTCGAAGTATTTGAGCCTTCCATTTTGCAGTGTCATTGCATTGCAACAACATTTCTCGAATAGGGGAAGCAACATCAGGGTTTCCTTTCCAGTAAGCAAAAGGCCATTTCTGAGACCAAAGTTTCGACATCGAACCCTGTTTAATGCTTCTAAATTCTTCCCCCCATGGCTGTATCTGAATTTCTGGCCTGCCAAGAGAATTGTATATCATGAACATTAAAAAGAAACGTGCTCCACCAATTGAATATCAAACATCAATTCATTCTCACTAAAGCCTAAACGAAAATAAAACTCACCAACCCCAGAAAGACCAATCGGGAAACGGAATGTCAAAGTGCTCTGAGGTGGTACAATACCGAAACAAAGGTAACGGCATTGAAGTAAAATTAGCACGATCAACCATAGGCTTATCCATACAATCAAACATCAAATCCACATCCGGGACCTTCCCAGGATACCTCCTAAGGAGCTGCAAGATACTCCAAATGGTGAACATTTGCCGACTCTGTACACAGTCATAATACAATTCCACGTACAATTTACCCTCAATTATGGTAACCCTGAAAGCTGCAAAGTTCTGAGCCTCCATTAGGTGGGCCAAAGTGACCTTAGACTTAGCCCACGGCTCCAGATCCCGGTGTATAAATTTAAAGACTTCAGGACAAGTCTCATTCTTAGATCTTCGTATATAATCATCGGATCTCTGTTGGGTTAATTCGTAGGGAGAACTGCGGCCGCAAGATAGGTAAGAACATTTGAAGATTCTCGAAAAAGTAGAGTACTTGGATTCTGAATCCAAAGTCCTCGGTGGGAAAGGATGCCAAGGCGTTGGTTCCAAATTGTGGCCGATGATTGTTTTGGTTCTCGAAACAACACTTCCCACAAAACTATCCACCTGTTTGCAATGATTGAACACGCATACATAATAATCAATACACAAGAAAACGCACAAAAAAGAAAGACGGTGAATCACTTGAGTAATCAAAGCCCGGATTTTTTTTCTTCGAAACAAATACATGGTTCTTTCTTCACACCCCAATAATCAAAATTGCTCTAAGAAAAAACAAACCAAAAGAAAAGGTTAAAAAAAAAGAAAGAAGGGATAAACATGAGAAAAACATTTACCTCAAAGAAAAGGAGGAGACAAAGAGAAACAGCGGCAAGGATAAGGAAGAAACGGGGAATTGGATAAGGGATGGCACTGGCAGGGGCGCGGAAAGCCGGTCGATTAACACTGTTTGAAAGAAGACCCATTTTGATAATGACGATGACCAATTCCGAGGAGCATTACAATGAGGTCGCCGGAGTATATTCGTCGCTGACCATGAAGAAGAAGTTGGGGAAGAAAGTCGGCCATGTCTGAGTGGGGGGGAGGAAATATAAGGGAGTGGGGATCCATAAACCAAAGTAATAACCATGGGCAATCCGTCTATTGAGCTGTTGGGTAGGTTATTTCCATTTGGAAATTTTGGGTAGTGAATTTTCAATGAATTGGGTGGGCCAGGATTCTGCCACGTGGCATTCTTCCTTTTCCGGACATTCCCGAATCCCACTCCCCATTAATTGTTACTAGTATTTAATTCATGATTTATAGTAAGGAGTAGTAATATATTAAATAAATAATACTCCTACTCCTTTATTATATATAGTCATTAAGTGAATATCACGTATCGGATACATTGCATCTCAAAACAATTAATTTTCATAAATAAAGTCTTAATTCCTTAAGTTTCACTAAGATTTCTTTTTCGTTGGCCACAAATTTGGGAAGTTGATAAAGAGTTTTTAAATTTGAATGATTACATTGCAAGATACTACTCCCTCCGTTCCAAAATAAGTGTGATTCTAGAGTTTGCACACAGTTTAAGAAAACATTAAATAGAGTAACTAAATTACTAGAATATCCTTAACCAACCTTATTAAAATAAATGCTTACCAATAATTTATTTCTTTTGAGGGTATGTTTGGAAATTTTTGACAAAAAAATGCATTGGAATCTGAAAACGACACTTATTTTAGAATTTCTCCATTTTGCCAAAATGACACTTATTTTGAAATGGAGGGAGTACTATCTCATTTCTGGAATACATTGTTAAGAGTTTTAAATTGTGTTTTTAACCTTTTATCTTTCACTAATATCCTCATTTTCAAAATAAAATGAAAACCAATACAAAATTTGTAGTATTATCTATCTCGATAATCTGGGTATTCCCCAATCGAAATGGACTCTTTCAGTTTCAGCAAAATTTGTGTGTTATCAAATCGAAAAATATACTTAGATAGGCTTATCATCAGACCTCACCTTTTAACAATTTTGAAAATTTAAAAATTTGTTGATACTGGTAACCACCCCCTCTTTTCCTTTAAATAGTTTGTTATATTTGTTGTACTATCACTTTTACATTTTCAGGATTTGGAATAAAATTATATATTTTATTTACATTCCAAAACATTGATTGATATGACTTATACCGAAATATATAGTTGAGATTTTAGTCTTACCTAATTAACAATTGCCTTTCAAGATATCCGAATAATATACACTTACTCCCTCCATTTCAATTAGATGGTTCTCCTGAGACGCCTGTGTCTTAAAATTATTAAATAAAAAAATTATAAGTGAAAAAGTCTATTTTAAATTAATAATATACATAATATAATATTATAATACAAATCACGATAATGTGAAATTTTATACGTGTAAATAAATAACAATTCTTTATATGTATATATATATATATACAATTCTAATCGTATAAAGAAAAATCTTTTATTTTTTACCCGCGGATCATACCCGTTGGTTAATAACAAATTACAATACTATTGAGATAATCATTCGGTGGTAGAATCCTTAGATACAATATCATGATTGCCATAATGAAAAACAGATCATCTTTTGCTCCCCCGATATTAATCTCCCGTGATATCATGATGGAATTTCCTTGGTTTTTTCGTTGCTAGTTTTTAAGCAAAAGTTTAAGGATTGATGTCTTCTTGATTGAGCCAAATATTAAGGGGATCACCTTCATTTTCATTGAGCCAATTGTATTACATTGAGCAAAAATACTTGATTAGGTATTATATATTTGATTGAGCCAATTTTCATTTAACCATTTTGCAGTAGTAATGTCTCACGTGATTTAAGGAGATTTTTTATATTTGATTTTATCAACTCAAGTTTCTTATTCTAAGAGATTAATATATAGCTATGATTAAGGGATTAGTATGGAGTTATAATTAAGGAATTTATTTATTTATTTATTCCTTTTTTTTTCTGTATAGTTAGAGTGTTACATGTCAAAAATGATTTTATACTGAAAATGATTTTTGGCGGGAAAATTTTCATTGTGGTGCAGACACATCAGCAGCTTGTTTGCCGCTTTAATTAAGTATTATAGATTTGTAGGCCATTTTAGGTTTAGAGAGATTTTTCAAAATGTAGGTCGTTTTACAAATTTTATGCAAATTAATGACCATTTTTCCAACTTTACACTCAATAAATGATGTCAATATATTTTCATTTAGTCTTGTTTATAGTTTCAATGTAATCAATGAGGGATAAAACATATATTTAACACATAAATTAATTGTTGGATGATTGTCTCTTTAGTTTACATGCAAAACCTAAAGTGACTTTATTTTAAAATGAAGGGAGTAATACTTTTTAGATATCAGATTAATAGTATAATAGTACTTGAAGCGCTTAACAGCGGATCTGGAATATTCATTACTTATCCAAACAATTCCATGCATCAAAACCATGTACAATTGTGTTGAGTTACAACAATTCACTTTTCCACTGCTTTGGACAGATGAAGTTAGATTTTACAGCTGCTTTTTTTGCTGTGAACCTTCATCTTCATAGACTAATATTGGAAGATTGGCAAAGCAACTGATCACAGAAACCTAAAATGGAGGTGTTCTAAAAGAGCATATACACCCCGTGTAATCCTTAGCATTTCGACTCCATAAGCAGGAATGTAATGCTGAAGGGATCCAGAAAGAAAGTCAGAATAGAGATTTCATCAGAGGGACTGTACTAACATCTGATGCACCCGTTAAAGGCTTGAAGTGGTTTATATTGACATGGTAGTTGCAAATGACGAGTCTTCATTGTCCCTTGGAGTTCAAGTGAAACAATCCAGACAGTGAGTTCACATGTCCTGCCTACACACTGAAAATCTTCCTCACCTTCTTCAGCGTCCTGTGACAAACTGGACATGTACCAGCTTGCTCAACTACCCTGCAACATCAACATAGGCAGCCATGAATTTTAGAACTGGCATGGTTTTCATCATTAAGAACAACAAACCGAAGTTATAAGATAAAAGAACTCAAACTCGGACAAAATTCTCCTCTACACCCGACCCCATTTCAGCATACTCCTAACTTTAGTTTGCAGGTCTAACTAAGAGCAATCGTTTAATTGAACCAACCTCGTCCCACAAGTGAAACAGGCAGCACAGTGTCCACAAGGAAGAAAGAAACAGTCACGAGGGGCATCCAGACAAAGATTGCAAAGCCGCCTTTTATCTTGAATGCTAACTCCGTGTATGATCTCATGTCCATCAGCAAGTGGTGACTCATAGAATTCATCTTCATCATTTGACAATGACTCAGAAGAGCCCCAACTCGAAAGGTCATCATCCTTCTGAGAAAGCAATGGGGCTCTTTGAGATACTCTATCCCTAGTTCGGTATCTTGTCTCATATTCTCCGGTGAACTCAAATGTGAAACAAAGTTTCATTGCCACTATGATGAGAACACTCACTGAGGCTGAAAACATATAATGGAAATTTTAGTGAGATCAAGTTTCCATATTGCAGAGAAAAACAACCAACTTGAAATAACATACCTGATCCAACAAAATATGATATCCACCGATGACCATAATTCAACTGCACACACCACACATAGTTGGCCATACCCTGAGAAAATTGATATATATATTTTCATAAGTGGAAACAGTAAAACAGCAGATACAATAGAGGGAAAATAGAGGATTTAGGTATGAAAATGAGTTGAGCCAACATTCTTGATCGGCTCCTTAGTCTCCACATAGAAGAAATATCTGAGGGACTGAAAACTTCAAAGAATAGAATCAAAATGCAAAACCATCAAAGTAGATCAGACAGTCCCTCACCGATTCAGGACCAGGAGATGTTATGACAGCAGTATTCCCCATATGGAAAAGCTTCAAAGTGCAAGGTTGTTGACTGATTGAGCACTCATAATTTGCTTGGGTGGCATTATACGTCAAAGCCTCTATCGTAAAATTTAATTGTACCTGGAAGGTATTAAAACATGGTATATAGGTATCAGGATTTCTATAGCTTTTTAAAAGTTACGCAAGAAAAAGGTTCATCAAGGTGCTCAAGTGTCACTGTGAGACAAATTAACATTGTCATGGTCGAACATTCAGTAATGAAAATTCGGACGGCTATTGTTCTTGGAAATTTATAAGATTGTATATGCATACACCTACTGTATAGCATCTATATCACACATCTCCCTACGGACCCAATCTCTATCAACAAGTAAAAAACTATAACCATCACATTCGAATCAGTAGCAGAAATCAATCTGAACTGATAAGTTTTACCACAGTAAAGTGGATAAAATTCTTATCTGAAGCAAAATATAAAGGTTTGAATAATAAATGTAGCTGTCCAGTGAAGCCTACTGTCAATTGCAGGGCCGACAGCCCCCGGTGAAGAAAACCTAGATTGCCAGACTAGCTATAGAGGTAAGTATTAGCTTTTCTGTCTTTAGCAAACTAATAGGTGGATGAGGCTATTGATTGAAACAAAAAAATAATTCCAAGTATGAATTAACAGTATGAATTCCAAGTCTTCCCAAGACTATTGATTGAAACAAAAAAAATAATTGTCTATCATGATTCGAGCTTAAAGTCTTAAACAGCTTATTCACAAATTAAAGTATCGTAAAGTCTTTTTTTGTTTCTCTTTCCCCGCCCCCACACACACACACACACACACACAATTGGGATAAAAATGTAGACATCAACCACAAAGATTTTGTGGCAGTTGCATTTGAAATGGTCAGTTTGAAATAAAACATACTTCCATTCACTCGAAAGTACAACAAAGAATGTAAATGTTGGTTACCTCCACCTCCTCAAAGTTTAAGTTTCTCAATGCAATAAAATATGTCTCAGGGTTCCAAATTTCCTGCTCAACAACACCATTTCCTGCAAGTTTGTATACTTTAGAATTATAAACTTCCCTGAGCAGAAGAGGTGGAATGAAACAACAATAGAAACTTCAGTATCCCAAGTCCAACACATGCATACAATGAAAGAAGATTCTGGGGGTTTACCGTGAATAATGTCCCCGGACAAGGTTTTGTTAGGGGATGCAGGGTCCTCAATCCAATCAAAGAGACTTGCCCTCCCTTCGAAACAATTACAAGGCAAAATATATCATAACATGAAGAATGTTGAAGTACTGCAACATGTAAAGAAGTCATTTGAATCCTCTAATTCAAGAGTTGAAAGTGAAGAACTGTGCAGCCTATTGATGTTAGAAAGAGAATGAGGTGGTGATGGCTTCATGGGAAGAAACACCTCGGGTATGTCTCAAGTTTATAACTGATTTTAACATGAATCAGAACCATTTTGAAATAGGTTATTGTCACTTTTGAATGCCTCTATGCTTTCCCAAACTATATTGACAGACAATTACCAACTTACAAACAATCTGAACCAGTTTAAGCTTTTTGCTGTGGGGTAAGGAGGACGGGAAGCATTCAAAATGGGATCATTTTTAGGAGAACACTAGTATGCAGCATAATCTGAAAAAGATCATTAACACGAGCTTTCACCTTCAGCTATGGCAAGGGACAAGGCAGCAGAGCTTGGTCTCTTCACACTGTATGATATACGTACTTTAGAGCCTTTGTTCAGGAAATACTGCCACTCCTGTAATACAATGATACTTCAATCATGTTCTAAATTTAAGACTTACAAACATGACTGAATTTCCAAACTCCAAACACCAATAAGAATATGGACTAATTTTACCTTGAGATCACCTGGTCCAACAAATGTAACATGTGTCTCGGACCATTTGACCTTAACATCCAAAGGAGGTGGTTTATCAAATCCATATAGCACCGGTTTGTGTTTTGATTCTTGTAATTCCTTGACCTGTGGAGGAAAAAGGAAATGGTCCAACCTCCTAAAGTGTACAGAAAAAATAAACAAGAAGAAAAGGTGAAAAACTCCAAGAACCAACCTTGATTGATTGCACAAAAAATGGATTGGCATATAGCAGGAATGAGCTATTGGGTCCCAATTCCAGATTTGAAGACCCATAAAATCCCAGTATGACAGTCAAACATGCTGTGAATAAGACAAGAATCCCAATTAAAATAGAAACCATCTCTTCTAATTTACACTTCAGATAAAACGATCAATAATCCTTCTTGCAGCATATAACGGACAGTTTGCATCTTATTTGTTTTCTTAAACTAAAATTAAAGAAGCCCAATAGCTGAATTCTTCAAGAAATCAAGAATAATACGGAAATCAATCTTTGACAAAAAATTAGCAAGAAACGATTGAATTAAGACATGAAAGGGACAAGAAAGCAAATACCAAAAATCCAGAATGTGACGAGGACCATAAACGCAGCACATGCTTCATCTCTCAAACTAGCGGAACCCACTTGAAGAATCGAAACGTTTAGGTAGTAAGACGCCGGTGGCGGGTCCCGTTGCCGGAGATGCTGGGTTTGACGGCCGCCTCGAAGTGCATTTCCGGCGTCGCGTGGCTGCACGCGGGAAGAAGAAGCAGCAGCAGCAGGGGAAGAAGACGAGGGAGTTGGCACATCATGTACTGAATCAGAAGCAACATTAATCTCAGCAGCAATAACGTCCATGGCGGTGGGAAATCAAATCAAATGGGGGGCAAGATTTAGATGATGATGATGGGAAAAATGTTGCTTCAGAAGTTATTCGGGAGTTTGAGTGGACAAAAAGCAATCGAATAAAGGGGTTAAACAAGAAAAAAAGAAAGAGGAGGGAATAATATGAAATGGGTTGTAGAGGAAGAATAACTGTTTTTTTTCTTATTTGAGAAATGACCATTAACAGAGAAACAGAAGTGGAAATTTCAGAATTCTGAGTTCAGAATAAGGGAGCCCCCCAATGTTTCTTGATGGTGGTAAACTGAAACAAAAAGGGAAAACAGAGGAAGAATATTGAAAATATTGGAAAGTTTTAATCATTATTATGCCAAATGGTCAACGCCAACCAGTCTCTGCAGGTTCTGTTTTTTCAATTCTCACTTTCAGTTTGCGTGTTGGGGGTGACGGACGGTTAGTTGCTGCTTTTTTGTTCCTCCGGCACAGAAGAGGGTTGAAAAAATGGAGTCGTCTTAAACCCCCTGAAATACTATTTTTTTTTCCTTTTTTTTTTTTTTTTCTCAAAATGGATAGTCGACCAGAATTAAATTCTCAATCTTCTCGTAATAACCATCTTCATCTTAATCCCTTAACCACCCAACTCAACCTTACCACCTCAAATCTGAAATACTACCTTTCTACTTAACAAATTGCTAGTAATTTAACGATAAATTAATTTATGTTATCGATCCTCCCACCCCAAATTTGAAATACTACCTTTTTACTTAACGAATTGCTAGTAATTCAACGAGAAATTAATTTATGTTATCGACGATATACACTTGGTGAAAAAGAAAATAATCTTTTGGAGGTAAGAGTTTCTCGAACATTATTTTCCGAATTCACAAGGCTGACACTTGAGAGACCTTAAAAAGAAGGTACATGGAAGAGGGAAGAATTTAACGACTAAGCAGCGTTAGTTGTGTGCCATGAAATGAATAATGATATTCAATTATACATACATATGATACGTATTTTTCTTTATCTTTTTCTTTTTGGGGTTAAGCATATGACATTATGATGTACATTTCATGAAATTCAATTCACTTTTGAAATTCACAATCTTTAGAAAGAGGGTAGATGAATGTCTCGTAAAATATTGTCACTAAGTAGGCAATGGATAATTTGAACAAATGCACTGCAAATAGGGGTTCAGAAGGAAAAATTAGCGGTCATATCAAACTTTTGCCTTCGTCGTTCATTTTATGCTATAAATTTTTGATTAGTTGATTTTTTCCTGTATGTTTGGAATTTTCTTTAATTTCGTGCAAGTGGCACAATTTTTGTCTAAATTAACGAATTTCTGTTAATTTTTCAACAAAACATCTCAATAGTTTCAATTAAATTACAAAAGTAATCCCTAAAAATGTAAAAATACAAAATAACCCATTTTCACTTTTTAAATTATTTTTTTCTATTTCATTATATTTATCTTTACAACTTTTCATAAACAATAACAATATACTATATGATCTTTAAAGTAATATATAATTTATTTTCAAACTCGAATGATCTCTACATACATTTGTAGCTCATGGTTGTATTAATATAAGAGTGAACCACAAAACATGTCACTATACTATGATTATATTGCACCGTAGATCATTATTCTAATTTATTCCATCTGCAGGTACGTTACTAATCCAAAAATTTATTCACAATTATTCTGTGAATTTTGGACGTTAAAATAATGGCGAGCTATTTTTCACATGCAATTCAAGTGAGTTAGGTTCATAGACAATTTCGTCATTTTTAAATAAACTTTAATTCTTCTTTTTTTTTATTACAATTCTTCTAATCAGAAACAGTTTATTTACATATGTTGGAATTAGTATAATTACTAAATTTCAAGAAACAATTTATCTTTTTTATTTCAACTTCCAGTTTATAAAAAAATATTAAAAAATAAATTTTTAACAAAATTAACACTTATTACCTTTTATTACTTTTACATTTTTTGTTAGAGATTAAAATCTGAAATCGAAATCTTAGCACTAGAAAATCTTTTATTATTTTTACCTTTTTGGTTTAGATATATATGTAGGCATTACTTTAGAAATACTTTCAACTTTCAACTAAATCTAACTACATTAGAAACCAAAACCATTAGACAGTAAAAGCTCCCTAAATTCTCTACAAACTCAATTCATATTAAATAAATTTTTTTTGATCCCAGCTCAAGACTAGTACAAAATCAGACAAAATCAATAAATTAATACGACAATATTTTTTTTCAAAAATCCTATATAAATAGTCTCCTATAAATTATAAACTAATAATGAGTAAAAATCTAAAAACGTTTAAGAAGGCAGGAGGCTAATCGAAGTTTTGCTTTTTCTTGAAATTTAGATTTGAAAAAATTTCATCTATTATTTTCTCTCCAATCCGTAATTAAAAATAACAGGATAATAATTGCGAACGAGAAGTAGAGTTGAAATTGAGTATTTTGTTTCGTCATAATTTTTTTTTAAAAAATAAATTAATAAAAATATTAATTTATTGATAGAATAATAATCTATATAAATTAATAAATTTTTGTGGACCCAACACTGTTAATTATAGAATTTTTACTATACTTCGCTTATATACACTAGAGTATAAGACTTTATACCAAGACTTTGTTTTAACTTAATTTTATAGTCTTCTATATTTATCCGTGTGTCTTTGAAAATACGTTTTTTTAAACTAGTTATAATAATGAATTAGAAAATATTTTGTGTCCCAAAAATATAATCCAAGTATGTTTCCATAACAACGAAATAGTGATTGTTTCGTGTAGCTATATATTGACAGCCATTGTAATCGTCATGTTATTGTTGGGCTACTGGGGGTCAGCGACCAGCTGGTAGGACTTGATAGCAAGTGTTCAGTTAAAAAAAAAAAAAGGGTCATGTTTTAGATTTTTAATTCTTTATAAGATCCCAATCCCAATTAGGAAGCACGACATGTCTTAAGCGGGCTCATTGTAATGTCTATCATATGTACGCATAGATATAGAGGAAACAGAAACCTTTTACTATTAAAGCTCGAAATTGATATTCAAACCGAACAATTAGATTGTGTACTTGATGAATGCAGACAAAAACGAATACAAGTAGCTAGCTAGCTTTCTCACAGTTAAACATACATGTCATATAGATTAATTTATGTAAGCAATGCAGTGTACCATGTTTTAGCAATTTCACTTAATTAATCAAGTAATTAATACTATATCATAAGTCAAATGATACAATTAAATAACTACACGTGATGCAAAATAGACAATTCAACATCTTCCTCTTCTTCTGTCATCATCATCATCCTCTTTCTTCTTAAAAGATAATGATGGACCATAGACCTATGTTGAGCCCAAACTCCATTCATGGACCAGTTATTATTCATAAATTAGTTAATGGGCCACTTGAAAGTCTAAAAAGGCCCGTTAATAATCTATCTATAATATATTGTATATTATAAAAAAGAAAACAGAGATAGAAACTGGTTAAGTCTTCTCATGTGCTACATAGGATATTATTTCATGAATTCAAAAAAGAAAAAACTTTGTGTATTATCAAACAAAGCACTCATAAATTTAATTAATACAAATTAAGTAAAGTATAATTTTTTATTACCATATTCCCCAAAAACTAAGAGAGATGGGATTAGGAAAATATCAACAACCAATAATTTGTCAAAAAAATCAACTCAAAGAGCAACAAACAACAATCATCATCGGCATTCCTCAATTTGCGCCAATTGAAATTTAATTTGTTTAGAGTCTACGTTCTTTTAAACTACTATGTATAACCTCTACTTTCATCACCACCGAGGTTAAACATTCTCACAATCTACACAATATTTAATTTGATATGATATGAAATATTTATATTTTTATATTTGTAAGGAGTTCTTATAATTTCACATTATTATCTATACAATCACAACTCATTAACATCATTTGTGTTTGTCACTTTTTTTATTTTTTTATTTTTTTTATTTTACTATAGTGTTGTGATAAATCCCGTGCATCGCACAGGTTTAACATCTAGTAAAAGAATATTTCAGAAAAATATTTTCCTTCACCTCATCTATAAATACCCTATTTAGGTGGTGGAGAGTAAACTTATTCTACTTTCTTCTTTAACTTATAAGTTTTATACTATCACTTCCGGGACTAACTTGCTCGTCAGAATGCTAACGCTTTGTCTTGCAGGTTCTAGGTCTATTAACACCAATGATCCATTGTCTTGACGGATTTAACCTTCATCAGATGTTTTACTGTAAGTAGTACAAGGTTTTAGGTCAAGTTGGACGATTGAGTCAAACTAGTGTAAACACAAACATTGCTTTCTATTTCAGGCTATTAACAGTCTAACACACCATGGGTCAAAAGTGTATAATCATCTATTTTGCAAAGTCGCTTCAAGTTAGCCCTAATTAATTAGAACCGGAAAAGAATCTATTTTGTTGAACTATTCTCTTAATGCTTAACATAGTAGTAAATCACAATATTCTTGAATTAATTCACTGATCTGTAGGGTTTTAACATTTTGACTCGTGAATGATTTACTTTGATTGCGATCCCTTCGATCTCAGAATATGTTTGGTAACTGGAGTATGAAAACAACATCACCTGAAGTTCATATAACTGCGAGAGTTGGGGTACAGAACATTCTGAGCTAGGGAACTATGTCTACATGACAGCCAAATTGAAAATCAAAAAGGTAGTATCTGATAAGGTGGCAACGGACCCGTATACTTGTTCTGCTGGTTAATGCTTCACACAGTTGTCATTTGGATGTATTGGCAAGTAAGTGTCTTTCACGATTAACCAATTGTTACTGCCATCATTTGTAGACTGTCAATTTAACTTGATTTGTTAGTGACATAATTTGTCACTCATCTTTGAGCTTATTGCTTTTCAATAATAGGCTCTCAAGCTGTGGTGGAAAGGAGTTTACTTTTATGGAGCATCCGAAATATATGAACCCGAATTAATAGAGAACAATGTGTGTTCCGTGACAATAAATTCAAGGCAACCAAATCATCTGGAAATCAAGACAATCAGCAACCTGAAACTGTTACTATTGGTACCTCTAATGTTACTCTAAAGACTCATTCTCATTGCCAAATTTTAAAACTTTTTAAGCCCAGGATTTAGTTGTGCGCTCGTAGCAATATACAGTCAAATGCTTACACTATAGCTTTTGTATTTATTCATCAAAAAGATCAAAATCCAGGGACCCAGCTTTAAAGGGCAAGGGAAAAAAAAAAGCATAAAATAATTCATAGTGATGATCTCTATAAGGTAGAAATCCAAGCGAATGACCTCATGGATTTGGATAAAAAGTTGTCCACTTAGTATGTAACGTGAGGAATATCCGAAGGGATGATGGAAAAATCCTTTTTTTTTTTTTTTTTTTGATAAGCACTACTTTCATCCCGAAAGATGAAATGATTAAGCCGAAGTCCTGCAGGAATGGAAATGGATCGCACCAATATCAGGGAAGCAATAATTGGGTGCTTTTTTTCTCAGACTGTTGAAGTTGAGAATGACCTTTCTTCGAGTCGTTCTCGCCGGAGACTCTCAGGTCTCTCTAAAAACCGCATCTTTTTTTTTTGCTATCAACTTCTCTACAAATTTATTGTTCCAAAGATTAAAAGCATATTCTTCCATAATGCTGGCTTTTAAATTGTCCTTTTTGATTCCCAATATATTAGATTGTTCAGAAAGCGGTTGTGCTGTGTTGAAATCGCTTAGCAGAGAAGTATCTGGAGTTGGAATCAAATTGCGAAAGTATAGGAAGAAAATTCTCAAGAACCTTTTAGTGTCAAGATTCCGCAAACACTTCAACATTTTGCGGAAGGGGATAAAAGGGAAACTACCAATTCAAGAACAGAACCGAAAGATTTCAACACTATCTTGTGCTGACATGATGAGCACCATGAAAAAATGGAGGAAATTTTACAAGGTCTGTTACTGCAAATTCCTTATGCATGTAAACCAATTAAAACAAAGGTACTGAAATTCTGCCAAATTTTCCAATGTTGACGATTAAGTGTGCTCTGTTTTGTTTAGGTTCCTGGATTCAAAAGGGGTTGGAAGTTTCAGACAGAATCCCAGAAGGTCCAGCTGGAAAACCTTAAACCTCCTCGTCTCTGTGAAGTAGTAGCTTTCCACATGAATGTGGAAGAAAAGAAGGGCAAAATGAAGACGCTTTCTGGAGCATTTGGTGGTGACTACAAGCTACATATCAGTGAAGGAAAGTCTTCCCTCTTAGTCTCTGCTTCCAGTTCCAGCAGGGATATTGAAGTTGAATTGACTTGTTCAATCTGCTTGGTGAGTTTATTTTTTTTTTTTTTTTTCAGATATTGAGGCCTTTTCAGATAAAGAATTTTCAGAATCATAGTACTTATAATTGTTTGGGGGAAAAAAAAAAACAGGATACATTATTTGATCCGGTTGCTCTGAAATGCGGTCACATCTTCTGCTACATGTGTGCCTGTTCAGCTGGATCAGTACTCGCCATTCATGGAATGAAGGCCGCAAACTCCACATCAAAGTGCCCCTTATGCAGAAAAGTACGCATTAAGTTGGTTTCTTTGTCTAGTTTATCTTTTCCCGTTTCCGAGGTTATTAGTTACCGGCTCTGTCCCAAAACAGGATATTCATTTTGGGACGGAAGGAGTATAATTTATGTAACATCAATTGTGGGATATGGTTGATTAGGAAGGGGTATTTCAAGATGCAGAACGGATGTCCCAACTACACATACTGTTGAAAAGAAAGTAAGTTCACTTAATACAATTTTCTCTTCTTTATTAAGGCCCAGTTGTGCAGTATTTAAACTGAGGGGTTGTGGGCAGATTGCCAGAATATTGGAAAGACAGGCGAGAGAAGGAACGCCAAGCTCGGGTCAAAGAAGCCAAAGAGTACTGGGAGCTACAATGTCGTGCATTTGTTGGAATCAAATGAGCTCTAAATTTATCTATTTGCCTATCATCAGCTTAGATAATTTGACAATGTGTTTGGAATTTTGAAGCCATTACTGGAAAGAGAACATAGGGGCGCTGTGTAAATATTGTAACGAATTTTGTGCATGTTTGCTGCAATGCTATAGTTTGGACTCAATAATCAGACTTTCAGTACATTTGTAAATTGAAACAGTTTCAACAATGGTGAAGAACGACGCCCAATCAGTGTGTGTGTTTAGATGCTTTAAATTGCCCTACCACATTTTTATGGAACACCTAAACCATTAATCATAGGTCTGTAAGGAGAGGATGACTAATTGAAAAGACTCTACGTGTAATTGGAAAATGTAGGACAAACGCTTCTAACGCTATACTATTATCATTTCGTATATTCGAAAGTTATTATATGCATAACTTGCTACCGGTGTGGAAATGTACAAAACTTGAAAGTTGAAACCAATGCATCAATGACTAGCATGAAAAAAGGACGACATTCATATTCTTAATCATATGTTCATCTTGGATACATGAATCTTTAGATCAGTATTTCTTAAGTGAACAGAAATGTTAGGAAGATCAAAAGTGAAAAGCTAAAAATATATATATATTTTTTCCAATTACGAAGGGAGCAAAAGCTTGGATACAAAACATCCTCTAAGCAGAGGATGAGGAAATCCTATATAATTCTAGTTGATCGGCAATACTGGATGGGGGTATTGACAAAATCTGTAATCCCATCGGACAAGAGAAACCGAATTTGGCCAGTGAATTTGCTGTCTCATTTGATATTTTATGAATGAGGCTAGGATCTGCTAAAAATACTTTTTTTTTACTATATACCTATCCGGTATCCAGCCGCTATCGTTATACCCGTGGGTGTTGACTAACCGATGACTAATCCGGACTCGAGGCGAGTAGGTCCCTTTCAAGAAGCGTCCTCTACCATGGTAACTAAATTTACTTTTTAAGGAAAAAAAAAAGAAAAAACAGTTACTCTCTCCCTCCCATAATTATTGTCCACTTTGAGTTTTTATTTTTATTTCAAATTATACTAAAAATGAAATCTCAAACTGGACAATAATTTTGGGACAGCGAGAGTATTTTTTTAAGGCAGAGGCCCAAGTTAAACGGACTGTTAAGTTTGCAATCTAATGGGCTTCATTATCCCATATCTACCAATCAAGTTTCGGCCCAATTGACTATGATGAAAGAACACCTCAACGTTCCAACGTGGCACTCTCCCATTGGTTCACCTACAAGCAAGTACAAAACCCACACGAACACTACCTGGGATTCCAAACTCCCAAGTCTCACAGAGTGAAGCAGCCATGGCGAGATCTCTAACACTATGCCTCTGCAGCCTGCTCATCTTCGGAGCCCTAGCTTTTGCTCAGGTTATCATCATCTCCCATATTCACTGTATTTTACCGTCTTTTGTTGTTTTCAAGCTTTTTGTAGTATCTTCGATCGCTTCGATCTCTCGTTGATTGATTGTTTCAAATTCCATTGATTTTACCTACAATGATGTTTTAAATCTCATGTTTCTAAAGCAAATTGGTAGAATTAGTTGTGAGTCAATCTGATTGACTAGGATGTGGGATATGAGCTGTTATTATTCGGGTCACTTTTAGGCTCATGATCTGCTTAAAGTATGAACTTTTGATTGGAAAATTGGACCATTTTTGCTGAAACCCAACCTTGTCGTCGGTTCTAATCCAACACGAATACTATCCACGATTATATCACAAGTAGTTCTCTATATACAGTTATTGTGAAATGTTTATGAAGCTAAAATCATATTCCTTCCGTCCCAAAATGATTGACCGTCCTGTTTGTTGTACAATCAATTTGGTACAATCATTCTAGTACGACGACCTTGAATGTCATGTTGGGACGGGGGTATATGGAATTTTTGTTTTCGCTTGAAGCATAAATGTTTCAGATAGCTTGATACTTGGATTTAAATTGTGAATGCTGTTGCAGGCGAAAAAATCAGACAAGGATTTGAAAGAAGTGACTCACAAAGTTTACTTTGATGTTGAGATCGATGGGAAACATGCGGGTATATTTTGTCCTTCCTCTCTGTCATGTTGGCTAGATAGAATGTGTTTGTGTACCAAAGGGGATTTACTCGTTATCATGAATCCTCAATTCGCAGTTTCTCATGTAGCTCAGCTACTAGTTCATGTTTTGTCCATTAATTTTCTGAAAAAATCCATGCCCTTTTTTCTCTTGTGTCAGGGCGAGTCGTGATGGGTCTCTTTGGGAAAGCAGTTCCTAAAACTGTAGGTATGTTGTAGATGTAAAATGCGTGATTGGGTATTTGTTGGCAATGATTTTAACCCTTTTTTAACTTTTTGATTCTCAAACTATTTCCTGTTTGACATTGCAGAAAATTTCAGAGCGTTGTGCACAGGTATTGTAATTCTACCTAATCCTTCCTCATCTGTTTTGTTGAGCTTCTTTTATGCTTCTCCTTTTGCATGGGAAAAGAAAGCGGGAAATTTTTTGGCTCTCTTATAAGTGTGTTTTTGACTGTTGAGCTGACTGAAAGTCATCATTTAGATCTAAAACATACTGTACTTAACATAAAGCAGTATTAGAATATGAAACAGTTTGGATTTTGATTTCTTATGAACGTCGGCATCATGTGCTGAATAATCTCATTCAACTTGATGGAAATTTGCTTTCAGGGGAGAAAGGTATTGGAAAGAGTGGGAAGCCTCTTCATTTTAAAGGAAGCAAATTCCATAGGATCATCCCTAGCTTCATGATTCAAGGTGGTGACTTCACCCTTGGTGATGGAAGAGGCGGCGAATCAATTTATGGTGAAAAATTTGCTGATGAGAACTTCAAGCTCAAGCATACTGGACCAGGTAAGTCATGGCTAGAATATAAGACCAATTCATTGGACTCTAATGTTTTTAACTTGACGTCATTCTTTTCGATTGACATCTGCCTTCACCAATTCACAGGTCTTTTGTCCATGGCCAATGCTGGTCCCGACACCAATGGTTCACAGTTCTTCATTACAACTGTTACAACAAGCTGGTAAAGTTCTTGAACATTAGATAAGCAACTCTGTCCTGTGATTCTAAATATTTGCTGCTTCTGCAATTTTGGTGTGTACAACACTCAGCACTTTGCTAACTGCAGGTTGGATGGCCGACACGTTGTCTTCGGTAAAGTGCTCTCCGGGATGGATGTAGTTTATAAGATGGAAGCAGAAGGCAGGCAAAATGGAACACCCAAAAGCAAAGTTGTAATTGCAGACAGTGGTGAACTCCCTCTGTCTTCTGAGTACGTGTAATATGCTCACCCTTGTTCCGACTGACTTTATGAGTTTACATTTTGGAGCTTTGTTTGCTCGGGTATTTTCTGGTAGACTTACTATCTCGTCACTGTAATGAACTTCTGACTTCCTCTTTGTTTTTAAGTCGGCGTCTCCTCTCAGAATAGAATATTCCCCTACCTCCCTGATCGAAACCAGCATTACAGTTTTATTATGAAATTTGAGTTTTTTTTTTTTGAAGAGTGAAGGCTAGATTAAGGCTGTAACCGATGGATCAAAGTGGAATAAGGTTCTTACCGAACAAAGCCACAGACAATTTAAGAGGAACCAGGTAGTAATTGAAAACTTTGTAATTCCATTTTTCAATTGCAGACAGTGGTGAACTCCCTCTGTCTTTCATCCCTTTCAAGTTTGGAAAGTTGGATTTTGGTATCCATGCATAAGATTCAATAGCTCCAGCCGTTTCAATTTTGGAAAGTTGGATTTTGGGATCAAATAAAATCATGCATAAGATTAAAAAGCTTCATTAAAAAGCTTGGCAGACGTCTCAGATTCATCACAAAGATGAGCCAATTAAAATTCGTCGATTCTGGAGCGACCCCATCCTCAGTTCCTAACTCTTGTATGTGGACTGGTTCTACAATGAAATGCAGAATGAGATGAATTCGTAATTTGTGTAGATGTTATCCAAGGTATTCCCTCTTGTTTAAAAGCTCTTTTGCGCTTTTATGTATTTTGAATCTTAGCATCCACATCTACCAAGACCTGGCACAAGCTTCGAAGCAATTGCGCATAGACAGCTAGGTGCAGCCTGGGACTCGGGAATTGAGCGTCAAAGGTTTTTGTTTTGAAATTCTTGCTCTGTGGTAGAACTGAACAATAATACACTGAACTTGACAATTTGTCCTGAATGTTATATTCCTATATACTGGCCGTCCCAATTAGAAGTCCAAGTAGACAAAAGGCAGACCTTAGACTGCGCCTCAAAAAAAGAGATCAAAAACAAAACTTTGAAAAGGCAGCAGTTTCATTACTAGCTTCTCTGGCCACAAAACTTTTTACGGATACAAGAACTTACCAAGTCCTAGCAATAATCAAAGATGGAACAACAATTTGGATGGTTTTAAAGATTACACGAGGAGGCAAAACATGAACAACCTGACATGGATTTAACTATAAGAATAAAGAATTTTCATCACAGTACCGTATGTTTCGTTCTTCAGCAAAAAGTGAATCCCTGATACTCAAAAAACAGTAGGGACACAGGCTCTATAGTCTCGACTCTGAGGCAGCCACCGGTAACATCTCAGAGCATGATGAATGAATGTAAAGAGTTAAATTAAACCATATAAGGTAACCAACCTCTGAACAAAGTTCTGAAAGGAAATTTTGGTTTTATTGGCTAATTATGAAGGGAAATGTTCAACCTTCGTTAAATCCATACTGATTTTTGGGACAAGGGTTATGTAATACTAAGAGATAATGGAATCCATAAACCACTCCTAGTAGAAAGGGTAAGCCAAATTTCAGGGGAGATGTTCTTATCTCCGGTAGCGAAGAGGGCTCTCCTACTATAATGGAAGTGAGGTTCAATAGAGCTGAGGCTATATGACGGGTCCTTCCAACAGCTGAGGGCAATGTGACGCCATAACAACACAGAAGAATTGCCTTTCTTTCATAGCATATCATTCTTGAGAAATAAGGCTACATACTAGAAACTCGATAAAGAAGAAAACAAGAGGAATAGCAGACAATAGAATCGAACTTTAATACCTTCCTTAAATCGGTGTCTGCGGGTATCAAATCAATCAATCAATGGAGTGACAAAGCAGTTCCCGCAGTCCTCATCATCATTCATCACACCACAAAATAGGAAACCAAAAAAAAAAAGACACAAAATAAGCATCACATTTATTAGTTCATCATGAACCTCACAAATCAAATAGGATGTTCAACGGAGTACCAATTCTTATCGAGAAACAACACCACCTCGGCAATACTTTCCGGCAACAACCTAACTAAAAAACAGAGACACAATAAAACAACTAACGAGAAGACATCAGAATACGCATAAGCAGGACAAATCGAACACATGACATAAGAGCTTGGAAAAGCTTATTTTAATCAATTCACCCACGGAAGGAAAGGAAGAGTCATCGAAAATTACTGAATGTTTTAGCTGAATTTGGAATCTGTTCCACCACCGTGGCCGGCTCTGGCGCCAAGCTAACTGTTGCTAGTGCTGGTGCTAGCGCCTCCGTTTTTCGCGCTTATGCTAGCAGATCGCCGGTCCTGAACGATGCCGGAGAAATTCACGGCGAGATCAGAATAAATCCCCATGACTTTAGAAATATTACCATTAATCTCGCGAATTAGGGCAACGTTCTGGACCAGATTATCAGGAACCTTGGACCGGTGATTATCATTCACCTGATTAATCAGAGCTCTGTTCTGATCCAGCACCGATTGTGCATCCTTGAAGCTCCTGCTCAATGTCTCCCATGCCTGAGGATCGCATTCCTCGTCTTCGTCGTCGTCGTCGTCGTGGTCGGCCGCAGCTTCTCCGCCGCCGTTCTTGCTCTTCCGTTTGTTGGTGCCGCGGGAGAGCTGGTAGCGTTTAGTTAGGGTTCTTGAGGCGTCTTCCGCCATTCTTCCAGTCCACTCTGTCCGAATTCACGGTATCAATCCGACGGAGAAATAACGAAGTAAAATGAAAATGATGGGTTTTATAGTGGTGGAGAAATGGAGGCGGTCAATATAAAAATATCTTAACAACCGCCTCTTTTTCGGAGAAATATTAGAGTCACGGTCACGGAGGGGACGCTACATCCAGTGGTGAATCGTAGACCGTTGATTTGAGCTATTGGAAGGAGAATGGACGGTATTGATGAGGTGAAGTGAGGTAGCTCCCGTGACGGTAGTTAACTTTCGTGGTTTTATTATGCGAGGAATCGAAAAATATCTTATGATAAAACAAAAAAGGGGCAAATCACATGCTCCTCCGACTATAGTTTTACATTTATGTTATTAATAATTTTCTTAAACATTTTTCTCTTATGATTCCAATACTCTTAAAATTTCTTTCATGTTTTGAAGAAACCATGATTCTAAAATTTTGTTTGCTGTTCTAAAAGAAATAGTAGTAAATATTCTAAAAGTTCAATGGGATTATTATTTTGAAACAGATATAGTCTAATAAAACTTAATTAAGAGATCAAGTTTATGTTGTGCGAAAATGTCTTGCGTGAATTTTGCTGGCCGTAAAGTTTGGAAGTTTAATCAACATTTCAACATAATCGTCTAAGGCTTCATGTATATTAAGAGTTTGGAGGAACAAACTACACCCTCATAATCAAGGTGTATCAACCTCCTCCGTATACAAACAAAAATATAAGCTTTTAATCTACATAATATAAGAAGGGGATGTCCCTTTTTGGCACGGTTAACTGCCCGTTGCCAGTTCTTTTCGCTGACGTGCCGACCATTTATTGGCTCTTTTGCAATTTTTGTCGCGTTCATCCTTTTAAGTTCTGTGCTTTCCATCCGGTTGCCAATCGGCCATCGTATACTTCCTTCTCCTCTCTTTAAGGTTGTTACCGAAACGCCTTCTCATCCATGGATTCGGAGTCGACTCCGTTTGGCAGTGGTCGGAGACTGTCAAAATCTTGGTGCTCCGTTTCAACATCTATGTGCCGGACCTGGTTTTCTTCGGCGAATCATACACGACCCAACCCGAAAGGTCTGAATTGTTCCAGGCCTAGTGCGTGAAGCGGGTCATGGAGGCGAATTCGGTTTGGAAAATGAGCCTCGTCGGGATGAGTTACGGCGGGTTCGTGGCGTACAGTATGACGGCGCAATTCAAGGAATGCGTGGAAAGGGTGGTGATTTGCTTCGCCGGGGTTTGTTTGGAGAAGAAGGACATTAAAAATGGGCTGTTTCCGGTGAATGACGTGGATGTAGTCGCCGCCATCCTACTGCCGGAGACGGCGGAGACGATGAGGGAGTTGTTGCGGTATGCTTTTGTAAAGCCGCCCAAAGCGTTGCCTTCTTGCTTGCTCAACGACTTTATCGACGTAAGTCTTCTTTATATTTTGTTGTAAATGAATTTTTGTTCGGTAAAAATAAAATAGAGGGGAAAAGATCACTTTATTCAAGCTATATAAGTTGTAAAAATGATGGTTTTCATATTTCGATTTTGATTGATTAATGGAAGCAAATGGAGATTAATGGGACATCAGGGGAGTGAAAACCAGTGAGGCTTCCCAGAAGGAGTGCTATTTGTGTATGGGGGATCTAATCAATCAAGCCAAACGAGTCGGAAAGGTAAGAGAAGAGTGTGAGGATTCGGCATGGCTGCCGCCAATGGTTCAAGGATCAATGAAATCAATGTCAAACAAATGTAACCACCAAGATTTCCCTACCATATGAATGTTCAGATTTATAAGGAGCCAGCAAGTTTCAACTAGAGCAGAGTATGCCTTCATGAAATTTTTGGTTTCGGCTGAACCACAAAATATTGCAGACCACTGCAACCAATTCAACAACATCCCTCAACAGTTGGTCAATGGATAATGATATCTACCAACCAGAGCTTCCAATTCCAAAGGCTTCTGCAGTTGATTGATGTCTCAGATTCCCGCTAGCCTCCAAACTTTAGATGAGAATGAACGTGTCCAAAAAAAGTGAGCAGTAGAGACGTTAGGTGAATTCCAGAAGGTGCAGGACCATTCTTGCATTAAGCCACACTTAATTAGGTTCTCCGGACCTCGCAGGGAGCTTGTACAACAAAACCTCCATATGAAATGCTTAATGGGAGGAGGGTTTCGAAGTTTCCAAATGTGCTTCCAAATATAATCTCTCCCTTAGGGAGCCAACAAATTTTAAACATGATCTGTTGCCATGATTTTGTGTGGACTTGCTTGAAAATTGTTGAATGGAGCAGAGACAAGGAAGAAAGTGCAGTTTGGTTTTGTCAGATTGTTATGCTATTTATTCTCCTTATGTTGTACTCATATAAGTAAAGACCGAATAGTATATTTGATTCAATTTGATCATAGATGTGTTTGTTATACATAAATTTAGATCGGTCTCGATTTGGAAAAGTTGAATGATGGTAAGGGTGAACTTGGAAGCATAGTTAATAACTTAATATTAGAGTTTCATAAGCTAAAAACACCGAGTTTTTACATTCGACTCGAGTCTACTCAAAAATAATATTTTCAAAGATTTCACAGTGTCAATTACTTCACATTTCACAGTGTCACTCCTCCCTTGAAATAACACCTCCGGGTCACTGCTCCCCGAAAGACCGCACCTCGTGCGGTCCACCTCATCTAGTAATAATACAAGCTCAAAAAGTGAAAACTGTGAAATGACTACAATGCCAAAATGAAAGAATTGCCAAGAAAGCATTCCAACTCTATTTTATAAAATGGTTATAAGCCAAACAATTTTCACTTATGGTTTGGGGGTCCTTGGGAACTTGGGGGTTCACAACAATGAAGGCTTGTTCTTTTATTGATTAGTGGAGAAAGCGCAAGAATACAGAGCCATTAGTCAAAACTACTGAGTTACGTACTCTCATAATCCCACCAAGTACTACAAATGAAATTAAACTAGCGCAACCCATATTCGTGCTTGCGCGGAGTACTGATTATGCCGTATGGTTTATATTTTAAGAATTTAATGTTAGGAAAAATAAGAACAGTTAATATTAATAGCATGAAGAGGAGGATTTCTATAATTCTACATCAAAGTTTGATGGAAACATTAATGTTCACTATCCCACTTACCACTCTAACTTGCAATACAAATCCGCTAGTGCAAAAGCCATAAAATTTAAATTTTCAAACGCATAAACAACAAACACTAATCACTGACCATAATACATACGTTGATGGCAACAAAAATATCATAGTTTCACCATCTCAGGGCAATGCAAACTTTCATGTAAATTGATGGGAAATAAAATACTCCATCCGGTCCTTATTATAAGACATTTTGATTTGTTCTAGGTTTGTCCGAAGTTTCACTTAAGATGTCTTTTTAATTGAAATAAAAACTTTAAAAACATTTCTTAATAATTAGGATAACACGACGAATGTGAAAATATATATTTAAGATTTTTTTTCAAATTAAAAACGCATCCTAGGTGAAACCTAAGACGAAATCAAAATGACTTATAATAATTACCGGATGGAGTACAAAAATAGATTACTTATGCATCTAAAAGCCGAAACACATGAGGATACACAACCTTTCTGGTTACGCAATCTATTTTTGTTTGGGACAACGTTTGAGGGAAGATGAGCACTTTCAACTGCTTCGATGTCTTTGCTCGAGACAAGGCCACATACAATTTGGCCATGAGAAAACACAGGTTCATGCAAATATACTCCCACATAATCCAATATATGACCTTGTGTTTTGTGAAAAGTCAGTGCGAAACACAATTATACTGGGTACTGATTTCGGGAGAAGGAAATTCCGCTATTTCTGGGCAATGGAACGGTATCTTAAGGAGGAAAAAACATTTTCTTATAGGACAAAATGCATTTTTAGTCTATAAATTATGGGGTCACAACTTCTGGTCATTGTATATATATATATATATATATATATATATATATATATATATATATATATACGCGACCTTGGCCCAATATATCTGGAAATCTTAAAAATATTTGTATCTGAAAAAAATATTTTATATTTGGCTCAATATATTTTAGAAATGTTTGAAGAATTTAGAAATGTTTTATAAGTGTGATCATAGAAATGTTTGTATTTGGCATAAAAAGAAATTGTATTTGGCCCGGTACGTTTTAGAAATGTTTGAAGATTTTAAAAATATTTTATAAGTGTTACTTCTTAAATATAAATAAATTGATCAAATATATGTCTTGAAGTAAATGCTAGACAAAATATAAAAGTATCCTAATAAGTTTAAATATTAATAAGATGATTTATTAATGTTCTCCATTGATTGTACCAAATCAATACTTAGTTTTGGAGATTTATAATATCTTTGTAGTAAGCTTCCTCCAAAAGGTATACGCTTAATTGTTGGAACTATTTCTTCCAAAAGTTTATAGATAGTAAAATATCAAAAAATATTATTTTGAAACTAGTTGATCACAAATATGAGAATGAAAATAATGTAAATTTGCATAGGTTTCAAGTTATAACAAAAAAGAACTCACCTCACCATGGCAAATAAATAAAAAAAGAAAGTAAAAGATGGCTCATTAAGAATTGAGAAATTTATTTTTTTCTGTAGGTAAAAATGATGTATAAAAACACAAATAAACGTAAAACATCATTCCTTTCCTCTCCACCTCAAATTCATAAAAGGCTTTCCCATAAATTAGTTAGAAAAAGCGACCTGAACAATTTATATGATGAGGAACTAAAAAAAGTCAAAAAACTAAATCCAAAAATGTATATTCTTGAAAGCCTGAACACAAAAAAAAAACGCACTTTATTTACAAATAAAATAAAATACTAATAATAATTGGCCAACTGAGAATATGAAACAAAATCAAAAGCAATTAGACAAAGAAAAAGCACACTTCATAACTGACCATATACGAAAAAAAAAACAGAGACTCCATAATTAAAAAAAGAAAACGACTCTATATGAATGAAACATAAAAAAAAAGAAATTTAAAAAACAACACTATGTAACAAAAACCCAATTAATCAATTCAATCCAAACAGAACTAAAATCATAAAAATTACAGGC